TTTCATTTACGCCATCGTCTCTCATAGGCATCGTGCGTGAGCAAGGTTTGGCACCAACGAATTGTACGCTGTCACATACGCCGACGCCTCACCTGAATGTCCGCGCCGTGCGAGTGTAAGGTACGTTTTGTGTCTTCAACATCTACAGATCTTTCATTTACGCCATCGTCTCTCATAGGCATCGTGCGCGAGCAGGGTTCGGCGCCGACGAATTGTACACTGTCACGTACGCCGACGCCTCGCCCGAACGTCCGCGCCGTGCGAGTGTAAGGTACGTTTTGTGTCTTCAACATCTACAGGTCTTTCATTTACGCCATCGTCTCTCATAGGCATCGTGCGTGAGCAAGGTTTGGCACCAACGAATTGTACGCTGTCACATACGCCGACGCCTCGCCCGAACGTCCGCGCCGTGCGAGTGTAAGGTAAGTTTTGTGTCTTCAACATCTATAGCTCTTTCATTTATGTAATCGTCTCTCATAGGCATCGTGCGAGAGCAGGGTTCGGCGCCGACGAATTGTACACTGTCACGTACGCCGACGCCTCGCCCGAACGTCTGCACCATCACGTACGCCGACACCTCGCCCGTACGTCCGCGCAATGCGACTGTAAGGTAAGTTTTGCATTGGGGGCTGAGCGCTTTTGGGCATCAGTTGAGCATCGGCGTGATCAGGTGAGTGGCAGCTACTCGTTTCGCTGACCGCCGAGGACCGCGCTGACCACCGAGGCCCAGCGGCAAGCTGCTCGAGGGGGCGAATTGCACCTTCGCAAGGTATGGCGTGCCAGGTCACTAAGCCGACCTCTCGGGTGACGGCTGCAATGTCACATATGCCAAGCTGGTGCACAAGTTGAGCCTGTGGCCGTGACGCAACACCGTTGACGTTCGACGGCGAAAATCTAAGCACGTGTCTAAAAACCATACATCCCAAGCTAGGTTATTATCACTCCCAACGTTCTCTGGTCAAAAAGCAGCAGCCAGTGCATTCATCTGTGTTCCATTATATCACATACTGTGTCCCAGAAAGAGGCGGATTGTCTGAATTTTTCTGTACCCCTGAGAGTGATCGAGACTGAGTTTCGGCTGAAGTTGCAGAGATCCACTGGTACGATTGACAGGGGTAGCCGGAAAAACCGAAATATGCTGACATATAACCTTGTGTTTGTGTAGCCCTCACCTTTCCGCCCCCCTTGCTGCTCATGCCGTTCTGTAATGGACGGACCCCTAGTGGGGAACCGTGCCCTTGCCAGCATTTTATTCTTCAGAAACCCAAGAAGAGGAGCAATGGCAAGGTCTCCAAGAAGAAGAGGTGCGACTGTACTCATAAGGAGAGCTACCATGCCCTGGAGCGACCTGGGATGGCTTCTCCCACTCCGACTTCTGGCAACAACACTATCGCTGGCATTATGAAGAAGTACTCAGGTGGTCTCGAACGTCTCCTTCTCCCTGAGCAGGTCTCCGAGGACGAGGCCCGTCGTGAGGCCAACACCGGGTTCCACCGGGTCCCGAAAGAAGATGGCGGGGCTGGACAAAGGCCTGCTCAAAAAGGAAAAGGAAAGGCCTACGGTCGCGGAGGAGAAACAAGATACAAGGTAAGCTGTTCTGCCCATTTGTCGACCATAGCTCTGACTCCAAGCAGCCGACGAAGGCCACAAAAGTCATGTCAAGGCCTATGTCGATTGGGCGTGTTGTTCTGCTGCCGTGCGGTATTAAGGTATGTCTATAGATAGCAGATGTTGAAGCGTCTCTCAACATTTTCCAGGCTGATGGGGAAATCGAAAATGACGTTGCACCTTCAAGGGGTCAATATGAGTCTACATTTCAGAAGCAAGGCCTGGCTGCCGATCGCGATGGGCAATCTGTTCTCAGCTTTGCCAAGGAGTGGAGCTCCCAGGCCATTGATGAATGGCTCCGTCGTTTGCTTCCTCAGCCCTTCCGGTACCTTGATGCTCGGCACGGCATACCTCAGGAGGGCGAATTCCACTGGAAGCTTTGTGTCAAGAGCTCACGTAGGATTGTTGTCGTTGAGAGGAGTGGCGAGTACACTGGTCGGGACTTAGTCAAGGTTCGGGGCGGCCCGGGCAAGAACACTGATGACTATATTATCCACTTTGGTACGTCTTTGATTCTACTATGATCTTTCTGAAAGCTTAATCACATGTCGTAGTGTCTATTCATCACATCCCACAGTCGGTCTTGAGAGACTGGGACGCTGGTGTCGCTCTGGCTGAACAGGGCCTCCCCGAGGTTGCCACTGATGAAGAGCTCGATGTCTCTGACAATGAGGACCTATCAGGCCTCCCTTCCTCTCGTCCTCGACCTAAGCCCCGGCCTGCGTACAAAGGAGCCAAGTGGCAGTCTGGTTTTATCCTCCGTAAGGGCAAGATGTACATGAGTGAGGCTGATGCCTTGGAAAGTAGTGAGTCGTCCTCATCGGATGGAGAGGAGATGGGTAACAGTGAGGGGGACGAGGACAAAGTGAGGGGTCAGGAGATTGGTGAAAAAAACTTGAAGGAAGAGGGTACCCGGAAGTCAGAGCGACTTAGTGGCAAGAGGAAGAGGAGCTACGCTGAGGATAGTGATATAGAGTTTGTCGAGGGTCCGAGCACCAAGAAGGCAGAGGTGGAGGCTGATAATGACGGCTGTGAGTGCTATATTCTGTTTGTATGGATATATTTCTTACATGGAGAGTTTACAGTTAAGGCGGGGCCTTTTGATGTCGACGAGACAGATCCTGGGCATCTCCCGTACTTCAATGCACCCCTGTTTTTCACGTCTGAGGAATTACCTACAGCCTCCGGGAGTGGGTCAACGTCTATGGCTGGTGCTGGTGTTATGGACTCGGGGGCAACTACGTCTGGAGGCTCATTTTGGGGACTGAAGCCCAACTTGCCTTCACCCGGTAAACCTCGTACTAGCCCTTGGCCGACACTCTAAAATATCATACGTAGTGATGTTGTATCAGGATATCTTTATTATCTTGTGATGAATATAGAATGACCTGAAGTCGCCTCGATGAATCACTACAACTTTAAGTCTGGACGATACTTGTGGATGGCAGAGGTATACGGGACTTGAGCCACGTAATGTCACGATTGCCCGACCGAGGCATAGATATTTGTGCCACCACACATATGTCCAATATATGCTGTGGCCATCAGCGATATGTGTGGGTTATCTATGCTGTGTGCGCGCAATTGGTAGTAGGTACGAATATCATTGTATGCGGAGGCTGTAATATATGCGGCAGGAATTAAATGGGCAAACGGACCGTCATACAAAAAGTCATTATGAGACCCAGTATATATTACATTGGACAACAGGACACTACTGAACATACAGCACATTTTGAAAGTTGTATCATAAGTGGCAGAGATATAGTATAATAGGATTCCACCACGGGTGCACTCATTAGTGCTTCCAGGCGGAACTCACGAGGGAAACAACCTTCGGGAACACAGTAGACCAAGCTCCACCTGATCCAAAATGATTTGTGCACCTGCACTGGTGGATAGACTCGACTTACGCAGAAGTCCGAAGTTGAGAGGAGGTGCCGTTGACAAGATAAACGCGTAAAGTTGCACAGAAGGGGTCGTCCGGAAGGTCGGAGTGGAAAGTTGTCAGACTGGGTTGATTCTGAGACCAGCACCTAGAGCTCGACGAGAGGATCACGACGGTATAGGTATTGTAGTAATAGCATATGTATTCGTCGAGATACAAAGTGAAAGTGACAGACACCGCTGAACGCGCAAACAGAACTCGCGCGCGCCCACTTCGTTGCATTTTTCCCGCGCGGCCAACATTTCTCAGAACAGCAATAAAGTAGACAACGACCGAGAAGTAACCATTATACAGTACAGTACGCTAGCGTGTGGTATGGTTGATACAGGATGCGGGAGATGAGCAAGCTCAACAGGAGTTGCGGGATATGGAATGATGCGCAGGAGAGCTACCAGTGGAGCCAGGAGATCAGAGAGGGATGTGAGCATACAAAAAAGTAGAAGGGAAATGTACAGCGAGCAAGCAGGTGAGTGAGAACCAGCAGTTGACAGTGAGTGAGAACGAGCAATTAACGTGATGGCAAAGAAAAGGGGAGAGCTTATCTTGAACAATATTATTCTTCGAGCAGACGTATCCTAAAGCAAGCGCTTTGAAGACCTGCAAAACGGCCCCGCGATCGTCGAACTACTCGCACATCAAATTGGCTCCAGCGACGGACGTAACGGGGGCCGTATTCTACACCGGCAGCTCGCTCAACGCCCGCAATTCCTGTCAAGCTTGCTGAACTTCTGCATCCTGTATACGTTGCCTAAGGTCGTATCGGTACAGTAACTTGAATGAGTTGAATGACTACGACGGAGTCGACTCCTCGCTACCGCTGCGCATGCACTGTGCTCCTGGTTCTCCTCTGTGCGCTTGATTTTTGCAACAAGGGTCTATAAGGGATACTGGCGGGCGGCGTTCGCTGTCGGTGCCAACTTGAAATGATTCTGAACGGACATCCTACTTCGCGCGCGATGATCCCGGGGGCTGCTGGAATATATACGATACGCTGGTGAGAGTGCTACAGGAAAAATAATGACTCGTTTGGCGCTGCAAGCGCGCTACCAAGATCGATGGGCACAGGTCCCGTGTCTCTTCTGCTATGATCTCCCTGCCTGCGATGTATACTACTTGCAATCACCTGGCGTAGGGCCCCGTCCTAGCTATCCGACCGCGCACATCCCAGCTTTGAGTGCAGGGTGCGACGACTCTCGCCTCGCGCTAGCATTGTCGACTCTTCCCTGAGTTTCTCGGCTCTCGCTCGCTCGTCCACGGTGTCTCCTCGAACCTTGCGAGGCCCCGCCGTGGATACCCGCCGCTGCCACGCACGCTCGAGTCTCTTGTCCTGCTCTCTGCCGACGCGTTGTGCAAGACGCATCCACCGCGCGCTGTCGCAGATCGACATGGTCGGGAACAACACTGTGCTACTTCCAGGTTTCTCTCTGCCGCAATTCAGGTTCGCATACACCCTGTGGCCGCTGTGACTGACTGCCTGGCCTGTTTGGTCTTATGGGTCCAGTAAGGCGCTTGGACCGGCGCTTGGTCGACCTCAGATCCTCCTTGCTACGTGCGAGGCGCGCGTGTGCGCTTGGAGTTTGCGTACAATGCTGCCAAGGGTTTCACTGTGTGGCGGAGAACGCTTGCCCTTCGGGCAATTTGGGCCACAGTTTTCGTGCATGCGCTTGATTGTTTGCGAGGTATAAGAGATGGCGGTGTACTGGCGGTGGAGGGCATCGTCTGGACTGTGTTTCCGTGTTCTGCGTGCCCTGGAGGCTGCTTCGCTCGTTCTGCCGCAAGTTTCTCAAGCCCTGGAGGCAAACGTTCCATCAGTCCACGAACATGAACGTCCGATCGGGCATTATGGACCCCCACGCCCTGACCTACGCCCATGTCCAGGGCATGAATTGGAATTCTCTGTGCCGATACTGTATCCACAGAAGATGCGCGACGCCGGTGCTGGCCACAACCGCCAGCGCCAGGGCCTTTCGTGAATACGTGGTATGTTCATGGAACCCCTTCCCATCTGCCTCCCCTATCCACCCGGTGCGCAGATCGACGATATGGTCCGCGCGAGGCGCTATAGCTACGCGCGGGGCCTGTGGTCCAGTTGGCATCTCGGCCGTGTCGTCGGCCACGTCTGCGTGAAGAACGAGGTCCGTCCCGTCGTTCGCGCACACGTGACACGCTCCCTTCCCTGACTTTTCGCGTCAGGTCGGGGAGATGCAGAAGGGGTACTTTGTGACCGTGCGCGAAGAGCTGGGCTGGACCGGCTTGTTTTTCCCTTCGCTAGGCGAGTTGGTCGAGGTTGTGCCTCCTGGCGCGCTGGACGTCGCGATTCCCGACCCCATGCCCCTCGCGGGGCTGTTCTTCAACGTAAGGCAGCGGCGTGGCCGTCGCTCCAGCCTACTGACCAAGCACCCTCGCAGACCGTGTACGCCAGGGTGTCACGTACCCTCCCCGACGGCTCCCCCTCGCATAAGTGGGCGAAAGCGGACGTACTTGTGAGTTCTCGTTTCCTTTTTTTGTATCTGCTTACGCGTGCGCATTCGATTTGTCGCGTGCTTTTTTTTTCTTGGTAGCCGTATGACGGGGCGTGGCGCTTCGGCGTGCGCGAGGGGCCGGTGGTCGTGCGGGAACCGCCCATTCTGCCGTACTGCGCGGAGGCGGAGCGCGCGCTCCGTGCGCGCGGCGAGGACGTGTGCCAGTATAGGCCGTGAGCGCTCGACGGGTTGGGTGCATGCTGCAGTAGCTTGCTATTCATCTCCACGTTCTCTACCTTCTTTCATTCTTTTATAATCTGAATGGCCCGGCCTTAGACTGCCTCGATTTTCTTGGCTATGGATATCAGCATCAGGAACCAACGCGATCGTTGTTTCCTGATATCCAGAGACGCTTCTGGATTGTAGACTGGCTGGATTGTTTGTAGCACTAGACGGGATGCTCCCGTTGTACGCTCTTTACCGTTCCAGCAATGTATGCATCATGTCCGCGTCTGATGGTGGGGCGGAGAGTTGGGGGTCTGTCTCCTAGAGCACGGCGTGGGGGAGGCGACCGGCTTGCCTTTGCCCGGAATTCCATCTGCTCCTCCGCTCCTCTTCACGTCTGGTTCTGTCGCTCTGCTCCCTGACTTCGGCTTTGTATCCGTGATTGAGACTGACGCTACCCACAGCATTGACGCCGCGCGGGGCGTCCTGATCGAGGTCACCGCCGTGCTCGGGCTCATGCTCGCGGCGGAGCACGACGTCAACGGGCCTGGCCTCTGCTCACCGCGGGGCTTCGGGCGGTGTTTTCACCGACGGGATGCTCAACAGCGCTTGCTCGCTTTGGTTTGTTTTTTGGGGTGGGCATCATGCGCAGTCAGTGGTTGGTCTTTGGTATGCCAGTATGATGCTGAAGGTGAGGGTAGTACTGGGTCGGCTCGTTCCCAGGCTGCTTGCGACTGTTATCTATGCGCTGCTGAAGTATTCCAGGTATTGAACGCACCACTCCGATGTATGGGTTTCCTTCGAAGGGTGTTCTCCCGCACGTCGTGTCATATGTCCACTCGTTCTCGTCTAGCACCCGCGTCCCGTAACCACAATCATCTCACGGCAGTGTACAGTGTACTAGGTACTAGTCGTGTCCAAGTCGTGTCTGGTGTAAACATTAATGCTTGCTAGCCGTCGTTTTTGTCCGGTAGATTGTACCGCCGCGGCTTTATCGTCTACCGAGGGGCATGTACCACTACCTTGACGCATCATGACTGGAATGTTGAACAGTGAATTGAGAGCGCGCCCGGCGGCACGGCGAAGGAAATACAACGGAGTAGGAAGCCCAACCTTGCGGAGACATGCTTCAGTATCTAGCCGAGGTCCAAGAAAGCGCACACAATCGCCAGCGATTCCTATATATAGCGTGCAGCCAGAGATTAAAAAAAATAACGGGGTGACAGGGAAACCCCTTGGAATCGTCAGCCGTCAAGCACCAAAAATGTGAATCGATATATGCATATTGCTTGGCAATTCACCAGAGTCGCTGTCCGGCGCTAGCCCTCTCATCAGCGCATGGCGGAGATCAAGATCATGTTGTCCGTTAGGATCGCCGGGACGATCGCCATCCACGCATAGGGCTGAGCCAATTCATTCCGAACAAAGTCTCTAGACCGAGCCTCGAGGAACACGCCGCTTGCCAAAGCGCCAATGACCCTTGAATACATGATACGTGTGAGTCTTGTGTCGCAAAACGCGGCATAACAGAAAGCGTACCAGAGATAGTACCACGAAGTGTCCCGCGTCAGTATGAAGATGAGTCATCCACCGGAGCCCCAGAACACCGGAACCCCCATCCTCGTGCGCGTCTTCGAGTGCTGCACTGTTTTGTATAAGAATAGCACCAGCATAAAGACATCGAACAGCAACGTTGGTAGGCTGCGACAAATTTCAGTATCTCCAATAATCAAACATTTGGGATTCGGAAAACACTCACAATGTGACACCGACAGTGGCTGATCTGCCCGACGGTGAGGTATTTGCTGCACACAAGTACAGTGTACCCGTCAGTTCGGCGGCAAATGCTGCAGATACCAATGCGATCACTCCGCGACCTGTGACAATTGTATTGGGATTTTCGTTGGATTGCAAGGAACAAAGCCACTGACGGTACTTGAAGAAGGCGTGCAGCCTCATTTGCAAGATAACTGAGTTAAGGGCGTTCAGGGAAGGAGCGGCAGAGTCTATCATCGACTTACGTTCAATGATGGTGACCATCCCGAGGCCTGAAAATAAAGTAGCCCGTATTGTAAGTTCCTTGTATGTGCAGGAGATTGAGCTAATCAACCTGCTAGGTTCAATGGATTTCTGGTGCCTGGATATGACAGTTGTGGCCAGCTCAAGCTAGCGATGCCACATCTGGCATATCTAAGCACCACATTTCCAATGAGCCAAGCAGATTGATATCCTTGATTCTGAGGCCTCAGATTATCATCGTCAAATGTGAGTCAATGATGAACTCTTTCACTTCCACACTGAGCACCCTGTACTCAGTTATTTTGCAAGTGAGCCTACAGGTGGGTTATACTCACCTGCTGAGGTGAATGTCACCCAAGTGAGGGACCCACCAGCAAGTAGAATCTTCATCCGTCTCCACTTGGTGCACTGAGCACGAGATCGTCAGCCAATGTATGTGGCCAAGAGAAGCTATGGATGCACCCAAAAAAGCTCCACCTGCGGATGAGAAGGGGTGTCTGGTCAACCCACGCTCAAGCCGCAGTAACATCGGCACACTCACCTCCAACAGCATAGTTGAGATTGAGACCAAGATTTCCGCAAATCAGGGCACAATCCTGTGCGACCAAGATGAGGTTGACATACAATGACGTGAAGGCGGCTACGCGGGAATCGTCAGGAGATAATAACCACCCTGAGTCAATATACTGACAAGCCAGATACCTCGACAGTCCTAAGTGAATGTTATGTGAATCCATGGAGCCTCGTGTACCGGGTGAGAATAGGACGGAGTACAGCAGGAATACAAGGTGCTTTATGTGTAGTGGTGTATTTGCATCGCATAGGTGGGCGGTGTAGTGACTATCCCGGAACAGATCCAGGATATCCCTCGAGGAGCCATGGCCAGCTTGCCGCTTTTAAGAATACACGATCCAACAAGATCGTATCCGCATCGTAGGATGCAATGGTTCTATCTGCCGTATATGCACCTACCAGCTCACCGAATCTGTTCGAAGACATTCACCAGCCCTAGGATAAGTCCAGAGATGTACAGAGTAGAACGCAGCCTCAGTATTACCCGTCACCAGAGTGTTTGGCGGTATTTGGTGACAGACATTCGGAGCGACGTTCGTGTCGACGACGACGAGCATGTGTACATATGTCTTTATGTCTCGCTGCTTTACGTCCTTTCTTATGCTAGGCCTGCTTTCGGATCCTATGGCTCATTTTTTGGGACAGCTGGGGTCTTCAAGCAATTCCTGCAACGAGCTCGCTGGTCGGCAACAGTATGAGGTGAACGGACGAAGTGATCGGCGTCGTGTCCACTGTCTGCTCAAATACCTCCTGCGTCCTCGGATTGACAAGCCATACTTTGTCTGGATTCTTTGACCTTGGTGTATGTTGCGATCGCATCAGGAGGTTTGACCTTCTATGTCGTTGATTTCAACATCGGTGCCCTTTGTGACGTCTTTGTCCTGCTGCTGGAACTCTTTGGGAAAGACACAGCTGCAGTACGACGAATACTGAAACATCTGGGAGAAGACGTGCTCTCGGGAAGTTCGTCAGCAACCACGGGACATTTGCAGAGGCCTCTTGAAGTCTGCTGGCGGATTCTGACGCGTTCTGAGGATCGACTCTTCTGCTAGTCGCTCAGTTCTGGTTCGTTATCCACAGTCTCTCCTCGTACTTTGTAACCCTGGGCGATAGAGCATATCCTAGCCGTCTGTCGGGAGTTGCCGAATTCGGACTGGCTCTGCCTCTTGGCCGTGCCTCGCGCTTGCGTGGAAGCGACGGTCTCTCTCCACCGTCGATACCCTCTACTGCTACGCTAACACTCGATCCTTGACTTTCTCGTCTTGCTCTCTACTTACACTTTATAGCAGACGCGCGTTCCGACCATCTATCGCAGACTGACGTATATCGACATGGCCGGGAACAACTCTATGCTGCTTATAGGCTCTTCCTTCTCGCTCAGATCCAAGCGCTCCCCTCTCGACATTTCTGTCTGTTGCGATTTTTTGGCCTTGTTTGACGCTATGGAACCAAGAAATACGCTTGGACATACGCTTGGTCACCTCGGTTCCTCCTCGCTACATGCGAGCGTGAACAATAGGGCATTTGCACGCTTGGAATTTCCGTGAAGCGTTTCACTGTATGTGAACGCTTGTCCGTTCGGCCTCAAGCGCGTTATGTCCTGCAATTTAGGCCACGGTTCCGTGCGTTAGCTTGGATGTTTGTAAGATATAAGAAAAGGCGGTCGGCTGGCGACGGAAAGTATTCTGGAGAGCTGTCTTGTGTTCTGTGTGCCCTGGGGGCTGCTACCGCTCGTTTTGCTGCAAGTGTTTCAAGCCCTGGAGGCAAACGCAATGGAGATGCCAATTCTGATTCACGAAATCAAGCACTACCTCACGTACAGTTACGTCGAGGGCCTGGACTTTGACAAGATCTGTCGACGGTGCAACCACGATCTACACTGTGCCAGACCTAAACTTGATGCCGCCTTCTACGAGCCACGAGATCGTGACGAGAAATTCATGGTATGTGCTTTACGACGGTATGACAATGCTCGATCTCGATGGTCTGCGACCCAAATGGGTACCGTGGTAGGTCATCTCTGTGTCTGGGACCAGGTTTGTTCGTTGTATGCGGCGCGACACTCTTTCCTGACTGATGGCTGCCCTAGGATGGCAGGGACGGTAAAGCATATTTTGTCACAGACTACAACGAACATAGGTGGTCTGGCCTTTTCTTCCCTCAATTTGGCGAGATTCAGGGGCATCCTAACGCACCAGCTCCTCCGAAGATTCCCTTGCGCCATTGGACCGTACGCGTAAGCCAGCGTCTCGTGGTGTTGGCTACCTTTGTGCCGCTGAGGAACATTTCTTGCCAGTTTGTGTATGCGAGGGTTCCCGAGCATCTTGCGAACGGCGCTGTTGCGTTCAAGTGGACCAAGGCCGAGCTAGCTGTGAGTTCCTCCGTGTTATGTAGCCTGCGGCATATGATTTGGTCTTCTCATTCTGCAAAGCCCGGCGAAAGTTCGTATTTCCAGATTCGTGAAGGACCGCAGGCTGGCACGATGTTGCCGGACCCTTTGGTCCTCCCGTACCACCGAGAGACGGAGCAGGCCCTCCGTCTACGTGGTGATGAAGTGTCTCGTTACATTTCATCTGACAGCGCTTGATCACCACGGTTTGGTTTGTGACTGCAGTATACTCTTGTTTTCACGCTCCTTTTCTTCTTCATTGTCCTCCTATCACTCAATTGCATGCTGTAGAATATCTCGAGATGCTCTGCGGCTATGGTCTTGACTTCACGCTAGACTCCAACAGACTGTAGGGGATTGCATCGACTGATCCGTTTGTAGACTAGATGGAATAGTCCCGTGTACGCTCTGCCATTTCAGCGATGTATGCATCATGGACTCCGAGTCGCGAGATTGTGGCATCGAAACTGAGCAATCTCAGGGGCTATCCGCCGGATCACGGAGACTATCATAGGGTCCGCAGCACACATACGTCACGAAGCACGCCCCGCGTTTCTCCTGATTTTCAGAAGCCAGGCTTCCTCTCTTCGCTTCTGTCCTGCACATGCTCTGAACGTTCGTGTAATAGTCGCAGGTCAATGCTTCTTCATATGCCTATTGAGACGGTGAAACTGGGCGGAGAATACAGGTAAAAACATAAAGTAGCACCACTGTGCGCTTGCTAGGCAGACGTCATCGGCTTGACTGCAGTCGGTAAGCTATCACTTATATCACTCCGAGGCCCAAGCGACCGTAGGCAGGGTGCACCGTGTGACAGAAGCAGTGCTGACTTCTCCTGCTAGCCGCAACAGATACTCCACCTCCAGTCGACGCCTATTCACCAACTGTATGCTGCGAAAGACAGCATCAGCCAAGTTCGAACCCCGTTGCCATCGCGGTCTCGTGCTCTCCCGCCTCGCCCACACGTTCGGCCTGCTTCAAGTCGGTCATTCGGCTTCGGCAAGTAATAAGGAGGCCTAGGACAGTATGCATACCCTAGAGTCATCTGCAGCTGGCCAAGGCGATACGAGCTGCGTCGCTTTGTATCGAAGTGTCCATCACAAGGCGTAGCCGCCTTGGATCCGAAAGACGAGAGTGATGCCCTTGAGTTCCCGCCGAACTCGGCGCTCCGCCTGCACCCTGCCTCGTACGATCGCAGTCAACACCATCACTGAGCGACGCACATACTCACCATATGGACGTCGGTCACGAACGCAACGGGTCCATATGTGCTGGTTGATCCTCGACCCCACTTTTGTTGCCTGCGTGTTTCGGGGGGAGGCAGCTTGGGCCGTCTGCAGGGTATTTATACAGGGCCGGGTGGACTGAGAGCGCCATTCACCCTCGGGATTGTCTCATACCAGCTACCGCACTCCCCCTATCTCTTTCTCGTCGAGTTCACAAGATGAAGGCATTCTTGGCTACCGTTACCCTCGCCGTTGTTGCCGGCGCCTCCGCCAGGACCTTTACGGTCAAGAACAACTGTGCTTACACTGTCTGGTAGGTCCCACCGATGTTAGTCGTGTTACGCCAAAACTGATCCATTGCCCATAGGCCGGCCATCTTCACCGACAAGAACGTCGGCTCGTCCGTCCCCGACCAGAAGACCGGGTACGCAGTCCTGCGAGGCACCACCATATTAGTGTACTGACATACTTGTCCAGATGGGAGGCTGCTCCTGGTTCCAGCGTTTCCTTCAGCGTCCCCGACGACTGGAAGGCGGGTCGCATCTGGGGTCGCCGCGGCTGTGACTTCAGCACCAACCCCGGCCCCAACTCCTGCCTTGACGGCGGCTGCAACGGCGGCCTCGAGTGCGACCCAGCCACGGGCACCGGTGTCCCTCCCGCTACTGTCGCTGAGTGGACTCTGTCTGCTGACGGCAACCAGGACTGGTACGATGGTGAGCACTTGACACTTCCCACATCCTGTTGAATTATCGCTGAACCCAACGTGCTTGCCTACAGTCTCCCTGGTAGACGGCTTCAACATCCCCATCAGAATCGACAACTCCGCCGGCTGCAGCGTCGCGGACTGCCCCGCCGACCTCAACCCGCAGTGCCCTGACCCCCTGAAGGGCCCGACCGACTCCTCCGGCGCCGTCGTCGGCTGCCGCAGCGCATGCCAGGCGAACCTGGACGGTAACCCCCAGGACTCGGCCAACTGCTGCTCCGGCAGCCACAACACCGCGGACACCTGCCCGCCTTCTGGCGTCCAGTACTACGACTACTTCAGTACGTGCCACTCGCCGCGATATTTGATAGCCTCACTGATATACTTTGTCTTGCAGAGAGCTCCTGCCCGAACTCGTATGTTTACGCCTACGACGAGAGCAGCGGCACCGCGCTCTGGACCTGCGACTCGAGCAAGAAGCCCGACTACACCCTCACGTTCTGCCCTTAAAGCGCAATCGATCATACTCGCAATGCAACAGTCTGCATTACCCTTGGAATATTTATACTGCACAGACGACCCCTCGCATAGCTCTGGCATTTGTACGCCGCATGTAAAAGTGTCCGGTAAATGGACATATTTGATGACTACATTTGACGTCGCGTCTTTCGAGCCATGACCATGTTCTTGTGAAGGTGCTGCACTTCGCTGGAATTGTAGCGTTCATAGCACCTCGGTGGCGTCTGGCCCATTTCTGTCCTACGTAACCCGCTGATCCACGAGTCCTCACTCTCAAACCTATGCTCAAATAAGAGGTGACCTCGAGGAACCGGTACATTATTTCTCGCTCATTCTTTAGTGTCAAAGGCAAGGGAGGTGTATTAGACTGATGCGGACAGCAGTCGCAGATGTGCAGGGGTATGCTTGGGAGCGATAGCCTCTCAGCAATATGATTAATCTCGATGCCCCCAAGGGCTGCGGGATCAAGGGTTTCTCAATATCTCTGGTACTTTGATCATGACCTCGTGAAATAACTCAAGGAGCAATATGCACTAGTGCTGTGTTATTGCTGATTTCTTGGTGTTAAGGGAGGTCTTATACGGACATTAGTTGCAGGGCGACTCAATCATACCAACACGTCGACATAAACTTGAATGATTCATTACATTACAATGATTACACATCCTTCTAACGAAGACTAGCCTTGTTCCTCAGTCGAACGTCCGCAACTCGATAGGTGCCCCCAATACAGCGGAGCGCGTTGGTTGCCCAGCGAAACGTATTGGATGGGACATCGTATCAAGCGACATATCATGATCATAGTAGGCTGACCGCACGGATATCATGAGCCTATTCACGAGGATTGGCGGGAGCGTGTTCCGGAATCCGGTAATAAGCTCATCCAGGGTGAGCTGCGTGGACAATGTATTACGCTAATACTGGATTGAGAGAAGGGTGATACTTACGTGATTTACAATCCATAGGCCTTGATCTATCATGTATACGCCGAAAACCCTGTCGAAGAGAAACTCCCATTGAGAGTCGAGCCCCGAGAGCGGTTGAATGTTCGTAGGTACGTACACGATAAAGTATAGTATTGATTCTGCTGTGAGCCTCATAAGGAGCCGGTTTGGGGTGGCCTCTCTGCGCTGGCTCCATAGCTTGTACAAAGCCAACGAAAGCAGAATGCTTTCTACGATGATGACCGATGTGTCGAAGAACATCCCCCAGTGTTCGTGAGGGAAGTCGCTGTTCGCACATATGAACACACCAGGTTCCGGATTGTTGGTGCTGCTCCCATCGTATCCCTCTGTAAGTGATATTAGCGTCGGGAGAGATGACAGCGCTATTATGAGACACTCGCTTCGTATTCGTCTAGTCACCACCACGATCCAAAATGCCATCTCTCCCGTCGTGAGAAGTCCGAATAGCGTAAGTACAAATTGGTTGTTCCCATACATGGCGAATATACGGAGGATCATAACCGCTGCCAAGAGGTTCACGGGTATACCAAGGTGTAAGGTTATCGGACACACCTTGCGTACTGATCGTGAGGAGCATCTGACCGATATCTTCTAAAAGATCGGATTTGAGACCTAATAAGTGCGGGGTATTGGGTGTCTTTCATAATAATCTAAGCGTGCACGAACATCTGGTAATCGTCAGTGTCGATTACGGCTCAACAATGATGGGTGTTAGCTCTCGCTACTCACAGCTGTAACGTATCATCAGCGTCGCGTCGTTTATTATCAAAAGCAACACCCGGCTTACTGTCAAGGAAGGATGGTCAAGGAGGTATACTGCATGGCCAACGTGAAGGATTTAGAAGATATGGTCCCAGCCAAGCGTTTCCTACGCACCGACAGTGATGGCACTGAGTATTCAACTTAGCGTTAGCTTCGCTGCCTGGGATGGAAGTTAAGCTTACGAAACGTAGAACAGGCTATAATAGCGGTTCTATCGATTACTCTTAGTAGGGTAACAGGTATAGGTTAGGAATGGCGGAGACCAACCCATAGAAATATATATTTGCCGAGAGACCATCGCTGGCGCTGCGACATTCACTGTAATCGAGAGAAGCAGGGGCAATGTTCCCGACATACCCAGAAAAGCCTGACCTAGACAAAATGCTTTGGAATTTAGCCTTTATTGACCAGTAAAGTTCCACAGACCTCGTTTTCGTATTGGAGGACTAGGGTACACGTGGCAGACTAGCAGTCAGCATGAGGGGAAAAACGGACACCATATCGCATGCTCTCACCGTATTCATACACCAGTAAGCTAAGGGCCGAGACTATTGTGCCACGTTTTCAGCACTCTACTGGAGATACTAGTACTCACGAATGAGGCGTCGTCCACTTACCACGAGAACAGCGCTCCCAAGACGCTTGTTGCAAAGCGGATACGTCCATATCTCATCGTCAGGAGACAACAGATACTGAAGCACAGACAGACACGGGTAGTTAGCCTTCTCGAGCTCTCTGCGCGCAGTAGGATGTGGTGGTTGTCAATGGGTGACACGGCGGTTTACAAGTTCCGTAAATAATGGCAGCTGTTATGATAGGGGAGTTTCAGCGTCCATCAACATCACAAACGCCGATGATAGTAGGCAGAGAATACCCGGTGAAAGTCCAGATTGACGCATTTGTCGGAGATTAGGATAAGATTCAAGCAGTTCAGTCAGGTCAACTTGGGGCGTAGAATTGAAGCTATTTTTACATGCAAATCTCGTGAAAGGATTATATGGACCAGTCTCCGCCGTCGGGAATGATGCGACTGGATACGGGCCGAGCCTTTCAGCTTCCCCATCGAACAGTATGGCAAGGCAATTGGAAGTGGCTACTGGTCAATAGAGGCAGCGATGTGGACGGATGAGTTCCTATTCGCTTAGGTGCCTCATCATGTTGTTCGCGAGCTATGCGGGGATTGGTCATGCTGAGACACCAGGGTGAATACTTAGGGAGGAACGATGTTGCCACATGGTGAACCGATGGGGGCGTACCTTCACGCAACCTGTCCAGGAATCATTTTCTCCTCTTCAACTCAAAGGCAGCTGACGATGGCCTTGCTCCACCGTGTTCATGGCGAAAATTCGAGATAGACAGGGTACACCTAGAAGACACATCGAAGTCGACATAATCGTGATCATAGTACGCGACTCGGACTGATATCATAAGCCGATTAGCCAAGATGACAGGAATGGCATTCCGATAACCGTTGACGAGTTCATCAAGCGTCATCTGCGCGTGCGATACTGTGAAGCTCCCACAGAGGGTGAAAAGGGAAAGGAGCACGAACCCGATTCATGAAGTTCAAGACCTGGTCTACAGCGTATATCGCACATACACTGTGGAGATCCTCTCCGTCAGCGACGCAGGAAATGACTGCAAACATATGGCTCACACAACGAAGTATAATATGGATTCCCGGGCAAGCATCATCATTAGCCTGTTCGGGTTCCCGCCCCGATGCTGCTGCCACGCCTTGTAGAGCGCGAGCACGACAAGCGTAATCTCGATAATCAGGATGGGGGTGTCGAAATACGCATACCAATGCTTGTGGGCGAAATCGCCGTCGGCGCAGAAGTAGAGCCCAGGCGATGGATTATTTGTACCGGCATTCCCATAACGAGCTGTCATGCCATCCTGGTGTTAGACGATAATCAGGCGAGGCACGTATGACCTCCTTCTCACCTACGTATCCACCCAGTGCCAGGAAGACAATCCAGAACGAAACCTCTCCGACGGTCATGATAACGAAAAGCGTCAGGATAGTCCGACTGTTCCCATACATCGCATGAACCCGCATCTGCATGACGACTGCAGTGAAGTAAGCCGGCAGCGCACCGCTGAGGCATTAGGGGACTGGCTAACATTGAGTACTAAGCACCAGGAGGGCTTGTCCCACATCATTCCACCCATTGAATCTGCGACCTGTGCCAAGGATCCTTTTCAGTCCAGTAATAATGGCAAGGAGGGACACGATTTACCCACAGCTGCGATTCATCGAGTCACAATTAAGGGTGAGATATCTTTGTAGGTATTAGCAGTCACGCACGTCTACGAAGCAAGCGGAATAGGTCAATAAATAGAACGATACATTACATGTGAAGAGGGGCGTTACCTCCATGGCAGGATGATTTATCAAAATATCTAACAATAGTGGCTGAGCGGACTCTGCCCGAGCGGAAGTCACGTGATCAATCCACGCACCTGAGGATTCGACTCTGCGACGTTGATTGATATAAATATTGCGACCCCCCAAGATAATGTATCATGCTGCTTACAGGACGTAGACCAAGCTGAAGTATCGATTCTTTGCGCGAGCAGAGTGAGTATTGACCCGAATCCCTCAGTCACTGGAGACACTCACCCAGAAGAAAATACATTTCCCGAAACACCACGGTTTTTTCTGCCGCCGAGGTTCAGTCGCAGGACCCAGGACAATAAAACCAAGTTTCTCCACCATACCCAAAAGAGTCGGACCTGCATGGAAACGCGTCAGATGTGGGACACGATCTTGAACAACACGACCTGAAATGGATGGAAGAAATCTACCTCTTGGTCGTATTGCAGGACTTCGATCACAGACACCCATTAAGTCCCTGTCTTGCAAGGACGGATGATGCAGGCTCACAGAATTCGTATACTATCAATGCCATCGAAGATACTGGCGGGCGTGAGCGAAGGTAAAATAAATATTGCATAGCGCGTACCGTGGCAGAAGCGTTCCCATGTAGCTTGGTGGAATGCAGAAATGTCAAGACTCATGACAAAGTGACAATGCACAGTATCGCCCAAGAGAGGGGGAGGTTGTCGACAGTAGTACCCTAGGACGGTGAGCTGAGCTCATCCGTGGATGCTCGATATATAACAGCATGCCAGGCGCCATGTGTTCTAAAGCTCTGCAGACCTCAGGAATCATGACAGCGCAACTCTGGGTTTATCGGTACAGCATGATAGAAGACCTGTACGGTGACAAAGGTAGCGGTTATCGATGGACCTACCAGCTCAAAGCAGTGGGGAAAACTGACGATAGGCGCTCAGGAAGCGCATGAGAGCATGCTCAGAACTCTAGCGGGGCTTGATGCAGAGCTTATGCGATCAGGACCGTTCAATCCACTTGAGCGCCCCCTTGCATGCTAAAGTGCTAGGAATGCACTTAAAATCAAAAGACGAAAGAGCCACTGCTTTTGTTTCCAGTTCAATCACAGCCCCTTGGCTATATTCGTAACGTAGGATCAGTTAAAATGGGATGGAACAATGCACAGCACGTACTAGTACATAGCTCTCGAAGGCTGTCCGGCAGGTGGAATCCCGCCTAGCCAGCGTCCCTAATTTAACACCACAGGGCCATATGACTTCGTATCGGTCATGATGACAGGGCCGCGATATATCATGCCTTGCTGGAAATCACGAGGGTTGTGGATGGGAGGTCGACGATCCTGCAGCTGGTTAGCCAGTAGCAGACGGATAGGCGGCATAGAGGAGGTTGACAGGAGTAGGGAAGAATGCGCGGAAGTGCCGAGCATGGAGTACTCAGTCATCAGTGATCATCGATCGTGGAGTGCAAGCAAGCGCTGTGGCCTGCCCATCGGGCGGAATAGCATACGTTCTTCACGTTGGCCCTCAGATAACAATGTCTATGGATTATATGCTAGATGCAAAGAACCAAGTCCGCGGAGGGACAGTCGCCACAGAGATGATCGGGTCGTACAAGGGATACGCGGCCCGGGTCATGCGTCCGTGTGAAGCATGACCCCAATGCTGGAGACAACCGATAGCAAGGGTTCAGAGAAACAGATGCGGGGTATGCTCAGCGTTCGCGGTGCAAGGATCATGCCGGCCACTGGCGTTCGGTACAACTTCCATTGCAGAAGGGTTGGTAATAAACCTTGTCGACCCAGCCAGTCGTTGCTTGTCAATGTCCAGAAATAGCTTCGGGCTCGGCGTAATGTGAGATAGATTGTATCAGAAGAAAGATTGGACAGCACATACTTGCAAGGGTTCAAACGTTCACGTCGTGACCCTCAATGCACGGGTGTACTCAGAGGGACTTCGTATGGATGGTCTGGAGATCCGAGACAGACGCTGCTATATTCCCGAGTCCAATGCTGGTTCTGATTAGTATTAGGGCCATTCTCTGCTTTGCCTGCACCGTACGGAAGGAATCGCAAATATTGAGAACCGTGTTTACCCCGTGAGCAACAGCTATGGTAAATAAGCCAATGGATAGATGAGGGTATCCACAGGGTGTAAAATACAAGGCTTTCTTGCTCCTGCGACTGTGGATAGCCCTGCCTCAAGTTGCTTTTGCGCGAGGAGATTGGCACGTTGCAATTGTGGCATTCACGTCGGCTACGGAATTTGCCGGTGATTGCCACAGGTGCTGCTGCTCGTTGCCGCGCTCTCGATAACCATGGTCGACATACAGGTGGATATCTCTGTTCAGTATTCCTGCTACTTTCGTTTCTGGATAAGCACTGGAGAATGGAACTCTAGCTCAAATTACTCAGCACGACAGGCCGCTCTCATGCATTAGCCTGCATTAGCCTGCATTGGACTGCATCTTCGCGACTCGGCGAGCCCTAAGATCTGTGCGTGACTGGCCCACGTTCCTTTGTCTTTCTGGGATAAATGACTTGCCGAGTGTTTAACTGAGACCTGCTTGTACCGCGAATGCGTTGAAGTCTGAGCTTTTACTTTGTTCCCTGGCCTGAACCGCTTCCATAGCACGCCGCCGTGGTAGGTGCACTGCTTGTGTGTGGTAGTGACTGGGAGCATTTGACTGCGCTGGGATGGGGCTCTGGTGCCTGGAATGCACAGCGGTAAGTGAGTGAGTAACAGATCTGTACCACTCACAATGAGTACCGTCGCGCTTCAGGATTTCGCCGTGTCGAGTCAGACCCGTCGTCTACGTACTCCGTCATCCTTATGCCCATCCTCTCGCTTTCAGGAGACTCCCGACTGTCGACGATGCGCGGCACTGACTCGCGTCAACGGTCAAAGACGTACCGTGCATGCCGTTCACCCCCGATAGGTCTACCTCTTGACATGCCTTGACTTGACGTCCCCCGCGATCTTATCCATCCTCTAGAATCGCAGACCCGCTGTCGATGTCTCTACGTATGCGCACTCCTTAACTCCTTTAGCACTCGAAGCGATCCCCCCACGCGGCCCTCACTCCTTTTGCAGTTCACGCCCCTCAAGTTTCATCTCTAGCTACCACGGACGCCTTTGTCTTGGTCGTCGTTCTCGTTCCGCGTTTGTTCTGGTGGATGAACTGGCGAATGCAGGCACAGGACTTCGTGTCGCCGAAAGGGTGTGGCGAACCGTGTCTGTTCTTTTCGTAAGGCTCATGCTCCGCCTGTAGTCTTAACTGACTTGGACCACACGGGGAATGAGAATCACCGCAAAGGACTGACAGGACGTTCGGGTTTCACAGAAGGCATAGCCCTCAGGATAATGTTTGATTCGTTTTACTTCAACTGGATCTTTGTGATCTCCGAATCTACCGAAAGATGGGGGACAGCCGGATAGCAATCGTTCCACACGCAATTATCGCTATTTACCGCTTCCTGCTCTTTGTGCGCTTAGTCGAAGATACAGGACGGTCTTAGACTGCGAGATCTTTCCGGTATGCCTCACACCATACGTCCATTCATTAATATTGCTGGTTCCAGCTCGGCGATGATCGTTGGCCTCCGGCTATGTCTGTTATCCTTACATCATGGGCTTCGGCTTCTGCCATTCTGGCAGACTTCCATGCATCCCCCACTGTATTCGAGACACTGAATGTTCAGTCCCTGCATGTGTCAAATTTACTCATAACATGTGGACAGCACCGAGCGCTGCAAGTGGACGCGAGGGTTCATATCCATGCTGTCAACCTTCGTATAATATGAGCCCGCCAAAAATACTGCGCGCGACATCGATGGGCCGGCTGTTGTATGCGCAGTATAAACTACCGTAGGTTGATGTATCTTTGCATCTATTGAGCCTTTGCCGAACTCGCTGGAACTGTCAGTGTCTGTCGCGCAGCCCAGCCACAAAGCGGGAAAGCAGAACAGCAAGCTGGACAACGAGGATTTATTATCGAAAGACGAGTTTAGTCTCTGGATGGCCCAGGAATTATCGGGATGGGACGGCGTCGACGAAGACGGGCCCAGCGACTTCGCGGCGGACAATACGCTTCAGTGGATCCTGAATCGCGCTAACCAAGGCAAGCTCGCGGCGGCTGATGCCTTATCAGACGAGAGCTCCTCGCCGTTCAGCGGACAGTATGGCGAAGAAGTTCATCAGTCGCTGAATGGTGCTCGAGAGGTCCCGTTCCCCACGAGTCTTCTCTCACCGCGCCCTATGCCAGCCAACTATAGCGCACGATCTTCGTCTACGATGGTCGCGACATATCCCAGTGGAGGTGTTCATCAGGATAAGGGGCGCACCGCAGAGGATTTCATAGGTTCCCTATTTTCGAGTCCGATTCCGATAGGAATCTATCTCACATCGCGTCTACAGGCCGTCAAGTTAGCGAAGGCCCTCGTTTGTCTCTGTCAAATGGAAGCGTAGCATACGACAGAAGTTCTCCTGCCGCAACGACATATACTACTCTTCCGCCACAAACCTTTCCTCACTCGATGCCGATCACAGTGTCAGCCGCAGATGCTGCAGCTGCCCAGCAAGGAGGCACTCAGGGCAGTAGCCAAGCCCCATTCCTTGCAAGAACGAAATATCACGGGGCGCCGATTTCTCACAACAATGGTCGAGGGCCCCGCGGTGGAGGTCGCGGTAGCGTTAACGGGCAAGCATTACGACCGTCAGCACCTTCCTCCGAGAACGGTTCGTCGCGGAGGTCGCCCAGCCGACACCCGGGGCACTCGCATTCGTTGTTCCAGAATCACGACGGCGACGCGCCTGCCCAAGTGCATGGCGGACATACCTCATATGGCTGGCGAGGTGCTGCATGGAATGCGGGGAGCCAGTATCGCCCGTCTGGCCTACGAGGGGCATTCGATACAAATGCCTGTGAATGTGGGGGCTCCGGCGGAAGAGGAGGGTCCTGGAGTGTCAGAGGAGGTACGGGTGGAGGAGGAGGCGGGCATGGAGGCGGAGGAGGAGGCGGGGGAGGCGGCGGCGGGGGAGGCGGCGGCTACGGTGGAGCAGGAGGTTATGGAGGCTACGGCGGGGCAAGTGCAGACACCACTCCCGGCGATGGAAATGATGGCGATGGTGACAGAGGAGGTGATACTGCTAGCCAAAGTGGTGAGCGTGGTGGACGTGGTGGAAGTAGGGGCAGGGGAGGCAATCGTGGTGCCGGCAGAGGCACCCGTGGAGGTAGAGCCGGTAGTTCACAGAGCGACCGTACCAGCAGGCGAGGGGACTGAATGAAAAAGGGCATGTGTTGAATGTATGATAGTTCAAGCGTAGTTGGTTTCGCGAATTGCTGATGTGAACGCCCCTTTGTCCCTGGACGTATATGTGGATGCCATTGGCCACGGAAATTGCCGGTGGTTACCATGTTCAGGGGCTGCAGCCTGCAGCCCTAAGCTTGTTAGGCTCCCAGAGACAGCGGACGATCGGCACGTACGGCCTTGCAATTGTGCGTTCTCGCCGCTGTACCCTTCAAGTATTGGGCACAAATTAGGGCTGGGGCGATAACCCCTGTATAAAGTCTGAAATCGACATCCAAGTTGCGAATTCGGCCAGCATTTGCACTATGGACTGGTTTCTCCTGAAACCTGGTGTCTCCGCTGGATACTGCTGCTGAAGCCAGGGTGAACGATGTTGGATGACAGACCGAAAAACCCTACTTCCAACATCTTTCTACTCCTACTGTTACCGGTATCTTTAGCGGCCAATCCATAGAGGTCAAATCCTTTGTGCATACGTCAACCACTTCATCTCTTACTGTCACTTCGACCAGCTCGCGTTCGTACCGCTCTGATCCGTATTTGAGGTACGGTCTTCCCTATGAAGAAGTCGCAAGGACGCTCGTGCAGCTGCACTCCGCGCACTCGCTCTTCTCTGCCGTCTCGCTTGATTTTGCGCTCATTCCGCTCCGCCGAGTTCGTGGACGCTTGCCGTTAGTAACGTTCTTGCATCTCTACACCTGTTGGTTTCTTCCAAAGCACTGACGCCCGGTACCCCTCGAACCATGTTCTTGTCTGCTACGACCTGCGAAGGCCTCGCTGTATTTTGTCCCTTCCAGGAGCTTCAGCGCTTCTTGTTTCCTTTTCGTGAAAACCTCTGATCTACATTCCTTGTATGAGCTGGCGATTGCTTCTGCGCCTTCAGATCCACGGTAGACGCAGGCGCTCAGGCTGAACACGTCGAAAGGAGCATGCCGCGCTTGCTCCTATTCCTGATGTTGATGCCCCCGGGTGCACTGTCTCCTGAAATTTGCCATCGCTTTAGGAGGTGCCCGATCATGCTGCACTTCTGGGAAGCCTGGCTGACCTCATCCCTTAGCGGAACTTGGATGATATGCCGTACGCGACAGAGACGATCAGGACCTGAATGGCTGGCGAAAGGTCATGTGCGGTCGAGACAGAGCATGAGATGGATGTGATCGCCCTCCTAGCTCGCCAGTGGCACTCACCGAAGACAGGCCCGAGTCTTCCCCTTCTCCGCTCGGCGATAGTACTAGTATCTTCCTGCCCCCGGATTTCTTCCGGCATCTGAGCGTGCATGGCCCACCTGAGGATTGCGTGGCTCCAATCAACCGACTGAGGCTGCGAATGTTATGGGAAATATGCGAAGTGAGTGATATGGGCGCTTACTGCTGCATTATTTCTTTATCGGTAGCATCACCCAGATGGACTCTTGACTCGTGCGAGATGTCTGGACCTTGCATAAAAACAGCACGGCATATTAAGCTTTGAGAGTCGATCTCATCTTATCGGGCGCCATTGTCTGATCTGTCGCTACATGTAGCCGTCCTCACCGGGGTTCAGCCTCGTGAGATACACGAGTTCGCGCACCTCACTAAAACGAACCGAAGGCACGGATACTGGGAGCTGTACCCCTCGACCATCGCCGGCTGCGTGTACGTCCGGGCCACGCATCGACTGTGTTTTCTAGCCGTGACAACTGAGCGTGCAGTCGATCCCCTATCTGACTTCTCTCGATCCGGACAACATATAGGACGGCAAAAGCACGATTGGTCTTCTCCGATCCAGCCGAGAACTTCTTCTGCTCCCACCTCGGTGAATCCGTCCCCCCCTTCGTCTCTCCACAATTGCTCATTCATCACCAGGAATGAACTCGGCGGCTTTCGACCAATCCCTTCCAACCCCGATCCATCCGCTGCAAGCACTAAGCGAGGCGACACCTGGGGATGCAGCATGCGACAATATATATTATTGTCGTACGCTCTCGAATATTATTTGGAGTTGTGTCGCAACCATCTTCGCCTGCACCTGGGTGGCCATCCATCCGAATATCCCGGCGCTTGACAAGCCATGGTATGAAAAGCTTGGTCGGCGCATAGCGACGACTGCCGTTGCCATTATCGCTCCTGAGCTTGTGGTTACATGGGCAGCTAAGCAGTGGCTTACGTCAAGGCGGTTAGCAAAACAATACCACGGTATGTGTATAGATCTCGCAGGTGGATTGTGTATATCTGATCACCATCCAGAAAGTCATGGATGGACTTGGACGCATGGATTCTTTTCTGTCATGGGTGGATTCATCCTGCACATTCCCAACGAAAGGAAAACTCCGGATCTTCGCATTTTGAATCCATATAATGACCTGGATAAATTGGGCAAAAAAATCCCGGAGCACGACTGCACCTGCGAATCGCAAGACTGCTACTACAGGAGATACCTATATAAGAGCGAATTAGCCTCTGAGAGCGAGTTAGCCTCTGGGAGCGAGTTAGCCTCTGGGAGCGAGTTAGCCTCCGAGAGCGAGTCAGTGAGCGAATTCCGAGCTCACACGTGTAGATCACCCGAACTTGGTGTTGCCGCTCTTCCCTTCCCAGACATAACTGAGAGAGAAATCCAGGACAAGAGCAAAGGTGATTGGATTTCGAAAGGGCTGGCTATCCTCCAAACGACGTGGTTCATTCTTCAATGTATCACACGAAAGGCCCAAGGACTACCAGTCACCCAACTCGAGCTAGCCACTTGCGCCTTTGCTGTCCTTAACGCGTTCACCTATGGGCTCTGGTGGAATAAGCCGCAGTCCGTGGATTGCCCGTATATAATTGGAAGGAGGCAGAGAATCATAGAAGACAAGGGACATCACAGTATTTGGAAGCCGCTGCTCTCCGGACTCCGTGTGCCTGGTTGCCCGAGAGGACGACAGTCAGTGGAGGCACAGGCGGAACTTGCGCTTTTGCAGCCATCAGGATCCACGGAGGGCGATACAATGTCTCCAGCGGATGCAGAGCGTACTCAGCATCATCGCACTTTGTCTATCTCCACGATTACAAGAGAAGTAGGCCAGCCGACGGACGTGCAGGTGCCATTAGGACATGTGTTGCTGTGGTCAACAATGCCTCCGGAAGATGGTGAACCATTCTCTGCACACAAAGGCCTGAGTGGGCACCATCATTCTTCATTCGCCTCAGGGTCAAACATGGGGAGTGTATCGAGTCAGTGCCTCGCAATGGACACACCGGCAACATTCCAATTGCCCAGTCCAACGGAAAGCGGTGTGTCATCACCTCCTCGAAGTTCATCCAAGCCAGACTTAGGGAAAGTGGATCACTGTTTGTTCGCTCTATACTCTCACATTGTTGCACTCAACGACTATGCTTGGTATTTCTGGGAGGATAACTTCGAGGACTATGAGGTCACGCAGAATATTTTATTTTTTACCCTTCTCCCCTTGAGTCCTTTCGTTGACATGATGATGGGTGGAGAGGTTGGCGTAGGCGAGAAAGAGGTCGGAGCATATTACTGTGGTGACCTGCAAGACGACGGTGACAAATTCATCCTTACCGCGGTCACGACCACCTGTGCAACAGTATTCGGGGCCATCCACTGCATTGCATGGGCTTATGCATTCCAGTCCAATGTGGAGCAAATTTTGTGGAGAGGTTGTTCACTGGCCATAACTTGCCTACCGGTGCCAGAGGGGGCACTACTACTTGCTGGGATGACAGATCATATCCCAGATTCCCTTAAGGGCTTTGCCACAGCACTCCTGGCACTGCTGATCCCCTTTTACATATTTGCTAGGATTACTCTGCTTGTCCTGGCTTTCCTCTCCCTCACGTCTCTCCCCGCTGGTGCATACCATACCGTCGCCTGGACGAACTTCATTCCCCATATATGATGAACACCGCCGGAGATCCTATTTCCTTTCCCTATCTTTCCATTTTCTCATGTTTCAGCTATTTCTTTTGGTAGTTCTTGTACTTGTATTCCATCGAGCCTTCTTTTTCGAGTCCCGTCCTGTAGGACATGTAGGTCTGTACGTCTCAAGTACGAATCCCATTCTGTGTAGTCTGTTCGCGGACATTTTCTTGGAAATTGGAATATAATGTCATACCTTTCTCCGCGATGGCCCTCTTGGATATGCGCAAGGACACTGACACGGTGACACCGGCGGTGAGTATGAGGACCGTGCTAACGCAGATGGCAGTCGGCGTACCTCGCAGCAGGATAATAGGAGCTTGTGGAGTCTCGCGTCAATACCGCTGACGAGGTATATTTGCCAATGTGCTCTCGGCAATACTTCTTCGGTCTACCACAAGAGTCTGCGTAGCAACGCACAGCTGACAACAGAGAGACAGGTACGGTACCTGTGTCTAATGTTACCGTCGTGCGCGCGGGATCCGGGGAGCTCTCTGCACGATCCATAGGCCAACTGCGACGTGTCTCGCACCTGAAGATCTGAGTCCCTTCGACGGAAACACCTCGCCTATACCCTTCCACGCCTACATTATGGTCAGTTTATGGACCGAAGCCTCGCCAGAATCCATAGGCCAGCTTTCGCTTGCGGCTCGAACACGTATTGCGCGGTGATTAATATTTCAACGGGCATTCGACAATGGCAGGAGGAGGGAGAAGAATCTTAGGGTGATGTAGACTGCATCAAGGCTGAAGTTTCAGGAATAAAACGGATAAGAGAGTGGTAAGAGCTCGCAGATATTTTAAGATGATGTCTCAATCCCAACGCGGCGAGCACGCCCAGGTGGAGAGGTCGCCAGTAGCAATATAAGGATCTACGCCGCAGCGATCTCAATCGAATCATGTGAGCATAGACTCGGACGTGAACGTGAATGTCTCGATAACTACAGGCACCTTAGGCTTGCTGGGGGGGGCGGCTCGTTGAATCTCTTAGACTAAACGAGACGCTCCTCCATCAAGCTTGGAACAATCAACGTACTATTCCCAACCGCCACTTGTATTGGCGGTTTGTATTACCTGGTTCACAAAATTTTCGGACAGGTTCTTGACGCGGCTTGGGTGAAATCCTGGCTGGACGCACTTTAAAATTAGCTGATGTTTCTTTGCTGAAGTGATAAATTGGGTGCTCAGAGCAGTCAACGGGTGACGAAGGAAGTACAGTGGTGCTTGAGCCTTGAGCGCAGGGCACATGCGAATCGGAGAATTGAACCTGAACGCGCCTCAACTTTCAGTGAAACTTTCAGAATCAGAGCGCGAGTAAAATTGGATCACGTGAGCTCGATACGGAAGCATCCGTCCACTTGCAGCCTCGATGCATAATGCTGCCATACTTGACGGTGTATTCCATGGGCCATGACCGCCGCGAGTCCTGACACCCGCGCCATACCCTCCTCATGGACGAACGCTGACGGCGGCAAGGAGGCGCTCGAGGCGCTCGAGACGTACAAGAAGAAGGATCCGAGCAAAGGTGCGTCTGCCCCGGCCTTCGGACGGTGAAGTCAGACTGACGATTGGTTATATGTTGGATTTGTTTACGGCTATGCCTTTGAACGGATTGTGCTGGGTATTGCGCTGAATTATTTCCTTGGGCTGAATGGATGAATAATAATGGTGACGGCGAGCAGTGGTAGTCCGCTTTCGCGCAATTGGCAACGCTCCGATTATGCGCCAGAATTTCTACAAGATAACGGCTTCGAACCGCTTCCAAGCCGTCATCCAGTTCTTGCGGAAAGAGCTGGGGTGGAAAGCCGGGGATCCTCTCGTGCGTGTTAGCTTATTTAATTGCTTGCCCCTCTACTCCAGTACATTAGCCCCCCGAACTCTTGTCCTTCTCTGTGTATCCTCTTTCCCCCGTTGTCATATATATTGACCGAGTTGGACGAACCACAGTATACGTACATCAACATGGCGTTCTCGCCAGCACCGGACGACACAGTGTCGAACCTCTTCAAGGTTTGCCTCGCCTCTTCCTAGTCCTCTTCCCCCCTTCCTCATCCGGATCGCAGTCCTTCCAGACAGACGGGCATCTAATAGTCAACTACAGGTATGCCCGGCCCTTCTTCCTTATCCTACATGCGCGCGGCTGATATGTTCCGTCTGCAGTACCACAGCTGCGTGGGGGTAACTATGGAGTCTCCGATCTCGCCTCGCTTCTTGTTCTGCAATCCCGTTCCGTATCTTAGTCTATATATTTGCTGTTTCCTGGGTCTTCGTCATCCGCACCTCGTCGCTCCCTGCTCCCTGCCTCGCGCTTCAGGCCTCCAGCAATGTCCAGGAACATGCGGACTTTGGCTGGTGACAAAGTGCCAACCCATATCAGATGCCCAGTGGGTTCTGGTAGTGGTCAGCGTAAAGGTAGTCTTAAAACATGGTCCACCGACGAATATTCGTGAACGATCATAGGGGTATTATGCAGGCTCTCCCTGTTCGACATGCACCCTCCGAGTTGATTGAGCTTCGAGACGGCCTGTTCCCGGTGAGATCAAGAAAAGTTCCTGCGAGTAACAGGCCCACTTGCACGCCGACAACGATAGGATACATCATCGAATTCTACAACACTGTTCATACACAAGGAAACGCTACAAAGAGCAAACAAGCAGACTACTCATACATCTGAACAGATACACAGATACATAGACATTTAGTCCGAGCCCAACGAACTCAGCTGCGCACCCCATCGTTTTACCCACACCCTCCTCCCGCCGTCTATAGTGCGATCCCCGCCGATCCCGGCATGTCACCCAGCGCTCCCATACCCCGCCCACTTCCCCTTCCTTGGGCTCGGCGCGAGCGGGATGCGCTCCTCCACCCCCATACCGCTATTCACCATGAAATCCTCCTCTCCCTCCCCTTCTCCCTCGCCCTCGAGCCCCTCGTACTCGGCCCAGCGCAGAAGCCGCGACTCCTTCGTGCGGAACCGCGCCGGTCGGAGGCGGAGGACGAGTCGCCGGAGCGCGGGCGGCGGGGAGTAGAAGAGGTACGTTAGGAGGACGATCGGGGAACTACAAGGACCATGGTCAGTGGAGGGAGGGAGGCAGGGAGAGAGGGGGGGGAGAGAGAAGGGACGCACAGAACAGCGAAGAATATAACCGTCGCACTCCTTTTCCTTCCATCATCCGCGGGGGGGATGAAGTTCCGCTCCTCGCCCTCCGGCGGCGGCGGCGGCTCCTCCGGGTCCTCTTCCTGCTCGGGCGGCGTTTCAGGCTCGGGCTCGGGTTGGGGGGTCTGCGTGGGCGGGACGGGTGTGGCCTGCATGGTGCTGGTGTGCGGGGTGAGTGACTGACCGCACGCGTGCTTCGTCGACCAGGTGAAGCCATGCGTGCCGCCCCAGCGCCAGGCGAATTCGGGGGAGGTTGGCTAGTGAGGGGAGTTAGTATGGGTTAAGACGAGGACACATGGCGGGAGGAGTGTGACGGTCGGTGCGGGAGGGGAGGAAATTGGCGAGGAGATTGGCGCGAGAGATACCGGGTGATGATACAACGATGGGAAGGAGAGAATGGAAGGAAAGGCAAGGGGAGGCTTACCTCTTCCGCCGTATGGTTGCACGTAAAATAAAATACTGCGTTCTGTGCATCGCGGACGTACCGACCGCCACCTAAGCGCAGCTTCACTGCCGCTACACACAGCACACAATTCATTTTAGATTCAAAATTTCGCAGACGGTGCGAGGAGAGACGTACGATGCCGGCTCTTGACGGTCTCCCCGAGGGACACGCTCGCGTTCATGTGCGTGCTATAGGAGTGCTTCTTCCCGTCGGACTCCCACTCGAAATTCAGGTTACCGGCGACGGGCACGACGGAGGTGATCCGCGGAGCTTCGTCGTCGTGCTTCGGCCGGCGGTTGGTCACTGCCAGTATAGTCAGGTCTCCGTCTGCAGCAGAACATGAAGCCTCTATGATGCTTACCAGTCAAGCATATCTGCGACCCCTCATAACACTACCAAAAACAACGCACATCAGCCTCCCGCCCCCCTCATAATATATCACCCAGCAAACAGATACACACCTGCTCGTACGTTTCGCGGCTCTCGTTCCTCTTCAGCGCACCCCCAAACGATATCCGATACTCCGTCCGAGTCACCGTCGGCGGCGTCCACTTCTCGAACGCGATCACCCGCTCCTCGCTCTTGTCCGCGCGCAGAACAGGGCACAGGTCGAAGCGGCTGCCGTTCAGCGTGAACTCGCAGTTGTCTGCGAGTGAATGGAGGTGCTGCGTGAGCTCGGCGTTGGCGACGGCGAGGACGACGGCGAGGAGGGTGAGGAGGAGGACGGCCATGATGGAGGCCTGAGCTGAGCGCTGCTCATGGAGTGCCGTGAGCCGTGAGCCGTACTGCTCTGATTAGTACGATGGCGCCCCACGATGGTGATATACTTGCTAGCTTTGATGCTGATAAGGAGCAGTCTCATCAGGGACTATGGAGACTCACAATGGTCCAGACGACGGTGCCAGAGAGACCTCAGGACATCCTTGGGTCTTCCGGAGGACTTCCAGCGGGGCAATGGCGTGGTCGGCCCGTGCTATCTAAACCTTCATTCCGTCTGCAGCCCGCGTTCCCATCTCACTTTGTGCTTGGTCTGCGGGCACACAAGAGGCATTTACATACCTATCTGATGATCCGGACTCTGTCGACAGAACGGTAGGAGTTGCTGTTATACATCCAAGTGTAATACAACAATTATTCCAGAGTACGATCCCTGATCCATCCTACAGTCTACCCAAGAGTTACGTACACAGGGAAATGCCCTATGCTGTTTGTTACCTCCGTTCTCCTGGTCTTCACCAAATGAGTAATGCACCCGGAGTCCTCGCCGCATGCCACGGAAGGCATCGGCTGGAATTCGGGAGGCCCAGCTTAACCTAGAACTCATGCGATGGGTAAGATTTCAGATCGTGGCAGTTCCTCATCTACAACCGTCAAGAGTCCCGATAAGCGACGAACTGCAGACGTTAGTCTTCACGTACTTTCCGAAGTACGCACGCTCCTTGCCATCGCTCCGGTCCACGATAGTCTCCACCGTAATATTCACTTCATCCAAGCGCCGCTGGCTCGCGCTGCGCTTGGCCTCAACGAGCGTCGTGGGCGACGAGGACGCGCCCGTCTCAATGTCCGCCGTGCGCAGGCTGTTGGTCAGGCGGGAGAGTTGGATCGAAACGATGTTGCCCGAGCTTTTCTCGCGGATGATGTCTCGAGCGTTGAGGCTATATGGAACCCATTAGAGGCGGTTCAGGCGCTTGAGCGAGTACGTACGATGCAAGGTACGAGTTGACGTAGACTATTGATTTCGCAAGCAGGTAAGTAGATAGAGGAAGTGAAATGGAAAGAAACTGACATTTGCTCAGATTGAGGTAAAACGCGATGAAGATGAAGTTGTCCGGCATCACGATATACTAGCCGGGTATCGTTATACGCCGCGCGCACCAAGGGCGCTAGGAAGGACGCACCGTGATCATCCCAGCCGCAGCGTCCAACCTATTAGTTCCCAATGAGCAAACCACATACCGAGCAGTCTGTACTCGTGGTAAACATACGCTGTGATCAGCCCTGTATTCACGGTGTATATGATCAAGATGTTGATGAGCGAGTCCGTCCTAAGCATTGGGTGAGCAACCGAGTCGCGGGGCGTCAATTGATATGCTGACCGCTGGAAACCCGTCCTCGAGGAGTGCAAAAAGTAACAGAGTACGAGCGCTACGTACAGATCTCCCAGAGTTCCCGCGGCGAAGTTGATGTAGAACAAGTGCTAGGAAACGGTAAGTCATGCCCCATGATCTAGCGTCCTACCAACCGAGATTGAGTCCAATCCTTCATAGGTATGAATCCCAAATCTGATATCGAGGTCACGATCACTGCCAAAGCAGGCCGCGGGGGAGGAGAAACGCACGCTTTCCCGGTGATTACTTTGAATAAAAATATTGAGCATCATGATACAGTAGGATAGTCGTGACCTACTCAATCCGCATACTATTTCGGGAAAATTATTCAGACATCTCCATCAATAGGGAGACCTCACTTACTCAGGTCAACGAAGGATATCGCCACCTGGTGAGAACGTCACTCCTCTTCAAATCTGGGGTCGAAGTACGCGTTGCTTACCACGGCACCCGTAAGAACAAAGCTGCCGCTCACTGCACACGGGTTCAGTATATATATAGACTCAATAAGACGAGCAGCGAATTCTACGCACGCTTCAGGATTCGCCGCGAGAACATTCTGAGACGTGTCCGTGTGAAGAGTACAAAAAAGGGTGGACGCAGAGCACTCACATTCGGACGATGAAGTCAGAGACGGACTTCGGAATTCAAAGAGTCTAGGTCAGGGCTCGAGGAGGAAAAGCCTAAATCTTATACGCACAGTAACAAGCACATGGATCTGCCAGGGACGCGTTAAATATATCCATTTGGTTGCCTCCTACATGTACCGCTAAACTCACCAGCAAACTCCTGTAATGCGTGAAGAGGTCAGCGAGGGGTGGTGTGTGCAAGGGGCGGACCGTACCAAACTGGGGATTGCATCCCGAGAGGATTGGCGAAATTGGTGACCATGTAGTGATAGAGGATATGGCCGATGAGCGCTGTGTCGAACGTGTCTAGAAGCCTAATCCGCAGGTTAAGTACGAGGAGGGAGGCGAGGACGATGATACAGACCATAAGGCAAGCACCTGCCAGGAGGAAAGCGCAAGTTAGTGAGTGTTTGGTCGAGCACTGTCAGATCAGTGATACGCGTACCAGGAGCTTGATGAACGGTCGATCATTATGCCGGCGCTCGTAGTATATGTAGGTCTGGGTGAAGGTGATACCGTACAAACTGACAACCCATGAGGTTTGCTGGTGGATAAGCAACTGCAGGGACTCACGCAAAAGATACCAGACCACCGACGAGCATCGCGCCGAGCGAGTTGTCAAAATGAAGCACGGGCATTGGCACGAGAGGCCCTCCCGGCGTGCTGGGTACCGTCGTGTTAGCTTGAGACATGGCGAGCTAACTAGGGGACGAAAGGAGTGTGGGGGAGCCAACAGGACGACCGGGAAAAAGAGTAGGGTCGCTTTCCCCGGCGACGTCTTATGCGACACCCTTATTTTCTTCATTACGCCCGATCTATAGCAGATCCTCACGCCAGCATACAGTACGGTGATGGCCTTGACCGGCAGGCAACCGGTGTAATTCCACGGACCCTCGTAAGGAGCAATTTCTCGGGCTTTGTCAGGTCGAGGGCAGAAATGGATTGCCTCCGGTGCCACGCGGAATGACCATAGTTCATGTTCACACCTGAGAACACCGGCGTTATCGCGCTACGTATGAGGAACATCGAGTGCATGCTTAGTCTCGGGGATGATGACAGTGCCTATCGGGTCTTTTGCAGAGACAGAGACGCTTGGTTCACCCCACTTGAAGCATACGGATTGCGAGGCTAGGAGACAAGGGCTGCATTTTGAAGCCGGATACTGTGCATACTGTCCGAAGAGTTACGTACCTTGATCCTATCGGAGACGCACGCCATAATTAAGAAGTCGAAGGTCAGAACTCCGCAGCCTTCCTGAACCCGGAGAAAGCCGTGTCAAAAATGAAGCACCTCCACGAAGAGGGCGACTCCGGTGCTTTCTTTGGGAATAAAGGCACTTAGTGAACTATAAGTTTGGGCGATCGAACGCAGAGCTCAAATGCAATATTTGTCTAGGGAAGGTACAGGGCGTTAGGCTAGGAGCTGAACAGCCGTGCCGGTTCCGTCGATGGGATTAATAGTCAGCCAATGGAGAGGATGTAGCATCTGAATGATTACGCTCACCATAGCCGAAAGGATGTTATGGAGACTGAGTTAACTACTAGCCCCCGCCAGTTAGCGGCGAACCTTCGACGACAAGAGCTGGGACATACTGGAATCTAAAAAACACCGTTTTCTATGTCCTCAATAGAAGAGAGCTTGAGTGACGCAATGGAATTGAGCGTCACAGACCTTAAATCAGCAGCGCACCAGTGTGTGCAAGTCTGCGATTCGCATATGCCTTGCCCTTGTTGTCTGCTTCTCTAAATTATCTCCACCCAGCTGTCGCAATTATAGTTGCTCGCGGATTTGGGTGCCGAAAAGTAACGATGCTACACTGGATGATTGGACCATTCGGTGGTCCAGCCAGTGGTCGATTGGATCGAAGTGAAATGAGCACCGGCAACTCCCGCAGCCAATGGGCTGCCGCTAATGGCGAGCCTCGACCGAGCCTCCGACTCTCAAGAGACCCGTCTACTGTCAGGCTCGTCAGGCTTTATAACCTTTGGACTATGGCTCAGCTACATGTCCATTTTCCTGAGCCTCTAAAATCTCCTCCATGTCTTCTTGGAACTCACTCTTCAAGACGGGAATCCTGCAGCAGGAGGCCTCAGAGTCATGCATATAGATCGCAGCAGTACCGAACGATATTTCTCGAATATATACGTCGGCACCATTTGGGGCGAAGAGGGCGAGTTTGTCCTTAAACTTGCTCATGACGGCAGATCCCTTAGGGGTCTCCGAAAGGAGAGGAACGTGTATACACGCTCTCTCAAGCTGCTACAGGGCACAGTTGCTCCGAAGTACTGTGGCCGTTACGAAGCAACACGGAGCTCATGTAACCGCGGAACTCCTGTCTTGGGTTGTCTATTGTTCGAGTTTTGCAGAGAGTCGCTGAAGGTCCTCTTCACAAGCCTAGACGTCCCCTCAAGGTCAGTCTTGAAGTCTAACGCCTGGATCAGCCTAACTGAAATATCGCAGGTTCGAATAGCTGAGAAGCCGCGGCAGATCCACCACTGCGCAATATCACACAATCCTCTCAGAGACCGCCATGTCACCTTGCGCAATGGCGACTTTCGCATCCTGGACTTCAGGCGTTCCTCTCGGCACAAGTGCCCCTGCGATAGCGTAATTACCTCTGGACACCAGTTGCCTGATGTTAGCACCTTCGGCTGCTGGAATTTATGGGCCGTTTGCCATGATATGCATATCCGGAGTTGTACGTTCTCACCTCTCCGTCTTGCCCCGTAGCCAAGATATCATTATAGGGAGCGTTAGGATCGGAACACGTACATATTTCTGGCGTGTTCATCCTCCTCAACACATTATTGACGAGCACATGCCTCGGGGCGTCCGCCGATACGACCGAGAGGCCATCAGTATTCTGGGGAGGTTTCTCCGCAAGCTCAAGGCGTTGCTGGCGGAGGAAATGAAGCCAGGGCTGGATTGTGTCGCAGGATTGCTACGGCTGGCCGACGACTATCCACCCCAAGAATTCATGGACTGTATTACTGAAGGGGAAGAAATCAACTGCGGCTGTGTCAGACAGCAAGCGGTCCTATTCTTTCAGAAGATCAAGAGCGGTTTGGACAACAAGGAGTTCACGCATGGGGATCTGAATGGCCTGATGGATGAAAAGAGGTCCCTCAGCGCTGCCGGTAAGAAGGTTGGCCCTACATGCGTCCATATTAGCCCCCTATTCCAGTCTCCTTTCTGTATATTGGTGCTATCCTACGGCTTTTGGCGCGATTCAAGGGTCAGTTGGGCTGGGTGTGATGCAGGCATCCCGGTGCCACCGGCGGATGTTTTCAGGGTCCCGCCTTGCTGCTCCCGAACGCCATCACACCCGACGCACTGACCACTGGCCGTTCGCGAGGGGCCGCATAGACGGCACGGGACCGCAATCCCAGAACACGTGCCGGATCCCGACCGGTCCGTCAGTCTCCGTCAGTACGCAGGAGTTCTCATCCAAAATATAACGGAGGTCAGCAGAGGTCACATTCGATATGCACAAATACCCCGCGATGTTCCTGCCGGTGCAGAGGATCGCCCTTCATGGCTGTAGCCATCTGGTTCGGAACTATCATTCTGGCTCTTGCTAGCCTCTGCGCTGCTGGAATCGACCGTCAGGCAGTAGTCTCACGCTACAACCCCGTTCGAAATGCATCTAGCCAATCGACCCCTATGCAAGTCGGCAACGGCTACTTCGCCTTTGGCGCAGACGTGACTGGACTACAGACATTTCTGCCCTACGCGATCATGTCCTCATGGGGATGGAAGAACGACTCACTGCCGGCGAATAGAACTATGGGAGACATCCTTGACTATCACGGCGTTAGCTGGTGGAACCATGATAGGCTAGTCACATACATGTTCGACGGCGATCCGGAGGTTCAGCAGTGGCTCATCGCGAACCCCAACCGAGTTAATCTTGGCAGAACGGGGTTGGTGTTCTTCTCAGAAGATGGCCAAGCGCAGAACGTCATGGAGAGCGACCTGAGTCACGTCCGACAAGAGCTTGACTTATGGACTGGGAAGATGACCAGTCAGTTCGTCTGGGACGGGAATGAGGTGACGGTCCAGACGTACTCGCATCAGTCCATCGGCGCAGTGGGTATGGAAGTCAAGTCGGCGCTCTTGCAAGAGGAAAGGCTGGGACTCTTCCTTGACTTCCCTTGGAATGACGGGAGCGCAAAATTCGAAGCACCTTTCGTGGGGCAGTTCAACCTTACCTCCAATCATACCACTACTCTGCAGACTGGCGAGGGGCTCGGGGATGGAGTGACTGCAGAAATCGCCCATACGATGGTAAACTCGACGTTCATAACATCAGTCGGCGGTGACCAGTTTACCATATCCCGTGATTCGCCCGCTACGCACCGGTACACCGTCCGACCGTCTAGTCCAGATCTTGACTTCCGCATCACCGTAACATACGCGCCTGACAGGCCGACATCTATCCCTTCAGTTACTGATATCGTGTCGTCTTCTGTTCGATCATGGGAAGAATATTGGGCATCTGGAGGATTTGTGGACGTCGTGACAGGATCCTCTGATCCCCGAGCTGATGAACTCCAGCGAAGAATAATCTTGTCGAGGTACCTGATGCGAGTCAACGAAGCTGGTGACACGCCGCCGCAGGAGGTATGTTCCGGCGCGTCTCCCATCGTTTCCACCGCTAACGGCTGACTACAGTCTGGGCTCGTGAACAACGGCTGGGTAAGTTACCTTAGAATATGGGGCGGACGCCTAATCATCAACTCTGATTAGTATGGCAAATTCCACATGGAGATGTTTTTCTGGCACAGCGCCCACTGGGCATTATGGAATAACTGGGATCTGCTAGACCGATCCAGCAACGTCTACTCCCGATTCCTTGCCACCTCCCTTCAGCGCGCGCAGGTCCAGGAACACTGGGATACGGGCGCGCGATGGTCGAAAATGACCGACCCCTCGGGACGCTCCGCACCCGGCGAGATCAACGAGCTGCTGATCTGGCAGCAGCCACACCCGCTCGTATTCGCGCAGTACGAGTACCGAGCGTTCCCATCCCGCGAGACGCTGGAGAAGTGGCGGGACGTGGTGAAGGCGACCGCGGATTGGATGGCGGACTTCGCGTGGTACAACGAGAGCACGGGGGTGTACGACTTGGGCCCCCCGATGTATGTCGTGAGCGAGGATACGAGTCCGAACGTGACGACCAATCCTGCGTTCGAGTTGTCGTACTGGAAGCTAGGACTCGGGCTCGCGGAAGACTGGATGAAGAGCCTTGGCGAGGAGGTCCCAGCGAACTGGACGAGGGTCAAGGAGACTCTGGCGCCGCTGCCCATTGAGAACGGTACGTATGCTGTATACGAAGGAATCCCGAGCGACTTCTGGTATACGCCAACGTACACCAACGACCATCCGGCGTTGACGGGCCTGTACGGGTGGCTGCCGGAAACGCCTGGGTTGAACGTCACCATGGCCAAACTGACAGCGGAGAAGGCGTGGACGTACTGGAATATCAGCAATTGTTGGGGGTGCGTTCCGTTCTTCTCGCCTCTCCGCGCAACGTCTGATTCTCGATATAGATGGGATTTCCCGATGCTCGCCATGTCCGCGGCCAGGAATGGCGAGACCGCGCAAGCGATAGAGTGGCTCTTGCATCCACTCTTCCAATTCGACGACGTGGGCATGCCGATAGGCGGCGCGCGCGTGCCCACGCCGTATTTTCCGGGAAGTGGAGGTCTTTTGTACGCGGTGGCTATGATGGCCGCTGGCTGGGATGGAGCTGATGGGAGCGCGCCCGGATTCCCTGCGGATGGATGGAACGTAACGGTTGAAGGTGTGAGCAAAGCACTCTAAGACGAAGACAGGTTAATACGCACGGCCTCGTGCTCTCCGAATCCTCTGTATTGACTGTTCTACGTGAGACGCTGGTCGACTACGCATTGTGAGGTCGTTGAAAAGGAGCTGCCGTGATGAGACACTGAAGCTCAGAGTCCGTGCAGCCACAGCTGCCAGCGGTTATCGAAGTCGCTACTGGAGGTAAAGTCATGTCATACTCGGAGGAGGAACGCGTCTATATTTCACCAGACCCCGTTCAAAAACATACCTCTCTGTAGTGGAAATATACATCATGATTCTCGGGCATACCCGAGAGACGGGAAAGCTGCTGTATAGAATGTCCAATGATGGCTCCCCTCCCTTTGGATGTACACGGTAATAGCAGAGCTTCACTTGTACTAGTTGGGCTCTTAGGCGGGGAGTCGAAGGTAGTGGTACTAGAGCCGCGGTAGTGGCTGAAACAAGGTGGTTCTCCGTAAGAGCTGCCGGCTCATAGGAGTTTAAGCTCACTTTCGTCTCACAAGTAGATGGAATCGAAGAGTCTTGAAGGAGTCCTCGAGACCGAGCACTATGGGAGAACTATGGTATTACATTGTTAAGGCAGGCGAGCCTTCAACGGAGATCCTTGATGCGCATCTCTCACCCTCTTCCTTCGAGATGTCTTGCGGTGTACCTCCTGCATGGCGCGTCAGGCGGAGCAGCATTAATTACGGATGAGATGTCTGTACCTCCTTGCTGATTTCGGGCCGTTCTTCCCCTAATAATTTGCGCTTTGCGCCAGACATTGGCTGTATCTCGGGTAGTGATTCTTCCGATAATCCATCATTACCGTCTTCCCAGATAACAGGCTGATCAACCCAAGGTACCTCCGCTAAGATCTTCGTGGGCGTATAGATGAGTCCTCTAGGCGCACACCGCACACCAAAATCGGACTGCATCCTCTTCAGGGGTATCACCTCCCTCAACTTCCGCACGCTCCTCACTCCGTACGCATAATCATACCCCTCCCAATCCTTGTGGCGTTCATTGAACTCCCTATTCCCCAGGCCGTTCTCGGGAAGCGGCTCGTCGCCTTCGTTCCTGGTACGTGCAGGGTCAATCTCACATATGTAAGCAATGTGCGAGAAGGGCGCGTTGACGTAGAACCAGACCCGCTGGACGGAGGGGTTGATGCGGTAGCGTCTGAACTCGTAGGTTTTCTCCTTGCGGACGATCTGCTCCATGTATTCGTCTGTCATAGGAAGTATCGCATCTGTTCGGGATTGAGAAGCCATGTGGAGAGGATTAAAGTGGGGATATGGCGACGGCTGGCTTAACACACTACTAACAGAACTGAAGGACTTGACCGCATCAGCGCGTCTGATGCGACGCGCCTTGTCACAGCCACCATCATGTGGGTGTGACCACGACTTACGCCACATTCTTCATGGAAAATGTTTTTGCTGCGCATCCACTCGCCTACAAAGGTCCAGAAAAAAGGCATAGCGTATTGTGGTCGACATGTTGTCACGGAAACGCAGCATGAAGCGCACACATCACGGACGGTAGAACGAACTGCAAGCACCCACACATGCCGAGTTACAGCAAAAGGGATCGAGCACACCCATGTTCCCAGTAATTAACGCTAAGAGGAATACTTCTCGTATAGTGACGACTGTTGATCACTGCTGAGCCCCATCCGTCCCCGCCAAAGGGCCGGTAATAATGGAGGCTCATGCTCCGAGGACGGTCGAGCTGGTAGTTGGAGAACAGCATCCACTATAGACGGCACATGTTCCGGTCGTACGTTTCCCAGCCTTTGCAACATATCCTTAAGTTATCGCAGCATCGAAGGAGGCTGATGATAGAAAAGCCGCTCACCAATCGCCATGGGGGTATATCAGGACGTTCGCAGCATATCTTATAACAGCGAGATGAATCGAACCAGCATAAGAGTAGAGCGAAGGAGACGTACTTGTGCCCGCCAACATGAGTAGTCTCTCCGATCAACCGGATTCTATGTGCAGCGTCGGCCGGATTCGTCTTCCGTCGCGCAACCTCTTCTCTCAACGCCTGCACCACAGCGTATCCATGCTCTCCACACCGACAGTCCCGGTCTTTATGCGTACACACGTACATGTCAACCGCGTACCTATCATCTGTGTTTGCTCCTGCTTTCGCTTCTCCTCTCGCATGTCTCCCTAGGACATGAAGAACATCCTGCATATTGTCTGAGCTCACTTCGTCTAGATCCAGGCGGCCGCCAGTCCGAGAATATGCGGTCGCTTTGTACCTCTCTCTGTTTCCGTGGGTCTCCGTTTCGAGCTGGTCTGGGGCCCAGGAGAAGTTGACTATGCCGCCGAACTGAGAAAGACTCCGTTGCAAAGTGACACGTAGAGACGACACGGGGCGACTCGGCGCTTCCATCGGAGGTACGCGGGAGTGTAGGAAGAGGTAGAGGTGGTGAGGGGCTACTGTAGCGTGTAGTGAGGGGTCCGGAGCAGTCTTGGACCAGAATGACCGGCTGCGTAGAGACGTTCTGAGCGCACTAGATATGCGCGTCCTCGAAAGCATTCTAGAGGTCTATGCAGATAGGCTGTGGATAGTATTGGGAAGAGTCCGAGGGTTAAGGTTTTTGGAGAGCTGGGGCTGAAGGATTGTCTACGAAAGTACCAGTTGAGTCCATAAAGCTGCAGACACCAGGGTCCGCGGCGACGCACCTGAAGTGTAAGTTTACTTATGTCTTCCCCAGATAAATGTCATATAATCGGATGAAGTACAGCAGCACTTGTGTGTAAACGGCCTGGTAGTAGGTAGGTAATCATAACTGCAAGGTTGTGGTGGAGGCCGAAGTTGCGTATACTCGCGGCTCGGCTCGGGATCTCGGAGGACCTTCACGGTAACCCTGACCCCGGATACGCCAATCGCACAAACGAGGTGAACGTTTGAACTAGTGCATATCCTTATAATCAACAGCTGTTTTGCCTCATACACCTCCAATCCGAAGGATTCCGGATGGAATAACTTGAATATTCAGGCGTGTCCCACTGACCAAGCCAGCGAGCATGGTACTTATACCTCTCAGCCTTGGTGAAACTGTGAGTGCTCCGAGTCACTATGATGGAAACGAAGAAATGCAGTACTTGACCCTTGCATCTGGACACGATTTCTCGCAGAGACAAGCGGCATGGTAAATATAAGCCAACCCTGGTTGACCATGTGGGTGCGCTCCACGCGCGGGAGGTTCGCGCTGCGCTGTTGTAGAGTCCGACTGTCGTCTTGCCTCGAGCTCGAGCATGAAGAATCATGAATTCTGTGAAACAAGCGAAGAATAAAAGCTATGAATGTGCCCTGATTGAGGGATATTGAGGGAAGCTCCGTCTCCCGTGTCATTTGTTTATGTCACAGAGCATTAATTGCCCCCCCCCCCCCCGGCCGGCGGATAACCAAGTGTAAATGTACAGAGCAGAGGAACCTGAATGTCACACACGTCCAACCGGCATCAGTAAGATACCGTTAACGGAGGAGGACAATTAAGTTGGACAAAAAGGGAGGAATACCGCTTGCGCTTGCCCGCTTGGAATAAACAGCAACGGGTCTATTACTCAATCTCCATAATCAGCAGTGGGCTGCTATTTGCCGATGTTGAGTAGCTGATTTATGTACGTCGAGCGATCAACTGTTAATGAATATTATCATTGAAAGAACTCGAAGCTAGGGACGTAGTTGCGATAGAGTTTGAGGTACTTACTGAGTTGTGAACTGTCGAGAAATAGACGTAGGGAATGTGGAGAATTGAAGACAGTAGGATCTGAAACTACTCGGTGGATTTGAAAGCCCAATAACCATTAGTAATCACTTACCGTTCTAACACTGCCAAAGATCGACACATCCTGTACGCGCCGGCGAACACATCTCAAGCTGTATGTGACCTCAGGAAGGACGAGATAAAAGAAGTAGAGCATATGCTAGAGTCTGAAGTGGAAAAATGTACGGCTATGGGTACCTTCTTTCACACCTTTCATTCTGCCACACCTTCCAAATTGCGAACAATGACATGGTGCGGTCACGTGTACACGCCTTCTGCGCATAAAAACGCGCTTCTACGCCACAGTCAACCAGATTCTACCGCCACCACCCCCGCTCACACATATCTGTCTATATCCACCATAAATTCACCATGTCGATCACCAGCGCGACTCCCGCTTACCAGCTCCGTCAATGCCCGTTCACCTTCAAGAGGGCACTCGATGGCGATGGCCACAGCTCGGCTACAAAGTTCCCACTGTTCCGCGACGTCTGTTGGGACCCCGAGCCCGAAACACTGAGAGTGCGCGACTGGAGGGAGGACGCGAAGGGCATGGGAAACCGGCTAAACGTAGATAGGTCTCCTACTGTGCGGAGCCGACTGCGTTCGCGCGGTCATGGCCACACGCATGAACAACCGCGAAATGCTCGGATGGAATCTACAGTTCAAGAACAGGCGCCGCAACGCGAGGACACGGCGAGGTACGCGGACCCTGGTTACGCGCGATAGTTCTGCACTTACACCAGTAAAGACCAAACCCTGAGAATGAGCAGCAGATGAAGGAAACAGGAGGTAGCTCAGGCTCCGAGTCCCGGCCCTCCAAGCGACCAAGGACGCGTGCAGTGTCACTTGCGAACGTCGTAACTAACAACCACACACGCCCCTCGACGGCGAAGGCCAAGACTAAGGAGGAGAGGAAGGAGATTTTGATGGCGGACCCGGATGTCACAAACGTCGAGCCGACGTCTGTCACATGCCGAAAGTGCGGCGGGACGATCTCGTTGGACAAGAGAGGGGAGTACTACTTGACGGCCTGGAACAAACACAAACGGGTCTGCTAGTCTTTGGAGGTGAGGCATTACTCACCGTACTTACCCTTGTCCACGTTGATCCCTCATACCGAGGCATCTAGTGATGAATCGGTCGAGAAGTAGCGACGAAGCTAGAAGTCAGAAGTATGGTGACGATACAACCTTTCAAAACACCAGTGGATCATTAAATCATAATTGCCCACATCTCGAAGAAGTGGTATATGACACTCACTAGCGCCACATCTATGAGGTCGTCGCAGCAGGCATACCCTTGTACGATGCCGCGGCTGGATTTCTATGTGAGACGTCGTCCTCCCCCATACCAAAAGGGGTCCAGTCAGGACTTTCACGGCGACGCGTACACATAATGACTGGACGGCACGATAGACATGGCTTTCTTGTGTCGCAGGAGAGAAAGGGAAACATCGCCCGCGGGTACGTCGTTACTTTTAACGTCATCCCGATTCCCAGGTAGCAGCGCAGTGCACCCGACGACACTCAGCTGTAAGAAGAGGGGAACATCAGCTCGTACTGCGTATGTCCGAAGAGATGCACCCTCACCTGCTCACCTGCGGGGATAACGGACAATGAGAGAGGGAGTAGTGGGCGACATCGAGATGACGGAGGCGAAACGCGTTAGTCACGGCCGGAGTTGCCCACATCAGCGTTAATATTTCCTGCGAGGCTGAGGGGCTGCTTCACTTTGCTAGCGATCAGGAAGCCGCCGAGCAAGGGTTAGAATTACTGAGACAGCAAGCAGAAAACAGTCGCAACAAAGTAAATAACGTACATGAAGAACGGAACACAGCATTGCCCGTCAGAGACGAACAACGATTCGAGCTTAAATTGCCTTCGCGCAGTGAAAGGAAGGTCGCAGGTCCCTAAATATCCATGAGACAAAGGAGGGAAGACAATGAGTGGCCGGCGCGGTCACGCACCGTACGGTGACCGTCTTCCACGACGCGACTCTTTCTCCGCCCGCCACACTGAACCACGAACCACACCACTCGTGCCGTGCATTGCTACCCTTGTCTGTCCGCTGCTCCTGGTATGGACAGGGCCGTCAGATCGTGCAAGTTCCGCGAGTCGGAATGCGCCTACAGGACGGGACTCAGACCTGCAGAGGCAGCAGGCAAATGTTTCCCGTTGTCGAAGGTCGTGACGTGGCCGTCGCCGCTCGAGCAAGAGGAAGAAGAAAATGAAGACGAGGACAAAGAAAAGGACCAATCAAACGAGAAAGAAGCAGACGAAGGGGATAGCCAATCCGTCCTGTCTCCAGAGGACTTCGCCAACCAGCAACAATGTCCGCTGGGTTGTGGCTACACGTTCCACTTTTCATCCTATGGGAGACTGCTAGAAACAGAGGCGATATATAGCATAGCTGTCGAGCGACTCACTGGGTTTGTCGGGTATATGTATCCACGAGATTTGAGATGTAATGTATCCGAACTTACATCATAGCTGCGGGCCTACAATATGCCTCGAGTCAGACCCGACCAAAGACGAAACCGTCGGGCTCGCCCCTTCCGCCAAGCGTCGAAGGACAGGTGCAATACCATTTGCAAGAAACGCGAACAACATTCACACACGACCTCCGACGGCGGAGGGCAAATCCAAGGAAGTGAGGAAAAGAATCTGGATGGCCGACCCGGATGCCACAGACATCAAGCCGAAGTCTGTGACTTCAGACATGCCGCAAATGCAGAGCAAAGATAACGCTGGATAAGCGAGGGGAATACTACTTGACGGCGTGGAATAAACACAAACGCGTCTGTTAGTAACTCTCGGGACTCGGTGCTGAGGTGCTACATGCCGCTGTGTCCAAGCTCATCTCTGACATCCACACCTCCAGGCGAAGGATCGTGGAAAAAGATAAGGAACGTACCGAGACCTTGGGGGATAATCATGGTAGAGATGTGAAAGACTGTGTTGGCGAATTAAGGAATGATTCCGCACCTGCGTCCTTGAAAACCGTATGACATTCACCCCGCGAGAGAGAATGAGAAATGGGAGACACAACCATCTGAAAGCAACCCCTGGTCGGATGCCATGATTCGCTTTCAGCTGACCGGCGTACAAAGGAACCGAGAAAGAGAGCAGGGAAAGGACCGAGATGAAGCCGTACCTATCTTGTATGCGCACATCCTTTAAACCGGAATCCGAATGACGCGACATACTGGGATGCGCTAGTGCGGACCCTCATTTGCAGAAGCCTATATTCATCGAGCAAGACTGGATCTAGGATGGTCCGGAAACGGAGGCTAGCGTTCGAGAGAACGTCGAGGGGCCGGATTTCCAATTCGGTCGGGTCGCTTTGTCGAATTATGCATGCCGGTGAAGTCAAGACCTTCTGCCATATACAAATCAGGTGTCGCAGATGCGATATTGCTGCCGGAGAGAGAGCCATCTCTGTTCAATCGCAATACAGCGAGTGGCGTCGTCATTGCCGAAGTCGGATTCGACAAAGCCCTTGTACGTAGTGCTATCGTTATAAGAGAGACCGCTGTCGACTAAGTATCTCGAGGGAAGAACTCTCCAGGTCCATGTCAAGGAATAGTACACCCGGCAAAGCCCGGTCCAGTCGTTGGCGACGAAGTTCAAGTTGTCGTGGACTTCGCCGTCTCGTCTCGAACGGCTCTGGCAAGGCTTGCTTCACTTCCAGCGATTGCTCTAATACACCGTTGCTGCCGCGTATAAGAACGTATGAAATGGTCTGCAATATACAACTCAACGGTGCACTATCGACAAGGGGCAGACACGACACAATTGAACCTGGGCGATGATCGCCTCCTCCTTAATCCTCCAGCTAAGCTACTTTCGCCGCCTGTGGGCGTCACACGCTGGCAAAATTCGTAAGTAGGTGGTCAGGCTCCGAAGGGTCATATCTACTCGAGGTCCGACGCTCCCGCCCACCCGCCGGAGACGTTTCGGTCTGCCAGGTATCTAAAGTCCGGCGTAGCGAGCGGTGAGATCGCCTGCTTATGGTCAATAGAGGATCTTGGATTTCGTCCCCTCCCGCCGTCGTCAGCTACGGTATCATCCCGTTGTTCTTTCTCCGGCGAAACGAGCTCGTAATATTCCAGCTCCAGGCTCTCATCGTCGGACGTGGATGCATGGTCGTAGTAGTGTTCAACCGATTCAACCGCCCGACGATGCTCCACACTGTGTTGTTTCGCTTTGGTCACTGTCACTTGCGATTCTTGGGGGTGGCTCACCGGCGACGGTGGCCGGAATACGATGGGCAGCTGGTACCCGCTAGGTGGGTTATTTGCTTTGTTCTAGGGAACGACGAATAACCTAGTTTCAGGCACTCGCTCAGACTCGACGCAAGGCACACTCACAGCGAGGTACTCTTCGAAGTCCCGGAGCATCTCCGCTCTCACCACTTTCACGTCCTTGCCGATCCGCTTGGCGTACTCTTCTACGCTTTCCAGCTTCCATCCCTTCAGGAGAGCGGGCCTGTCTTCTCTTGATGTGGACAATTCTTTGTCCTCCTGTAGGTGAGAAGGTGAATACTTCAGATCGTGTTGTTCGCTGCGACCGTGGAGACAGACCTTCAAAGACCGTGAACCGGTGTGTCCGCCGCGTATAGTCAAGGCGTCGAAAGTTTTGTGCAAGAGCGACACGTTTCTTTCACGTCCAGTTTCACCATTCGCGTGTTCATCGTCGGTGCCACCTACGCGAATATCTCTCCTGTCCTTGGGAAACTCCGTGCCCTCGAACAACATTCCTATTGTATCAGCAGCGAGAGGTAGGTCTTCCATGAAGTTCAACAACGATTGGAGCAAGCCTTCTCGGTTTGGAGAGGTAAGAGGAGGATGTGGCTGAAGCATTCGGGCGGGACGCACTTCTTTATGTGTTTTGATGTCCAGTCACGTTCTTTGTATTCTGGCCCTCGGCATAGGCCACTATGACCCGCTGGCCATTTATTCAGAATTCATTGCCGGAAGGATAGTCGATGCAAGAAGGAACAATTGCCGTCCAAGCTGAGGACAATGGACGTCATAAGTATATAATGCGCCTCATTGATCACTGCATGATTCTCGAGCTACCCCAACCACCTGCTTGCCTCACAAGCATCCGGAATCTGCATGTAAGTAGTTAGGCTTGGAAGGGTCGTATCTGCCTCCAGGTCTGATACCCTTGCCCACACCCCGGACAGCCAGGTATCCAGAGTGCTGGGTAGCCAGCGGTCGTCGTTGAGCGATCTCTACGTTTGCACGCTCCCGCGCCGGTGCATTCCCAGATTATCCCCTTGGTCTTCCGCGAGCGAAATGTCATAATATCCGGACTGCACGCTCCCGCAGCCGGACGTGCATTCATGACTGTGGTGGTGTTCAAAAACTTGCGAATAACCAGAAGCCACAGTACTGATTCAGTGTTAAAGCAGTCAATTCCAGAGATGCTTTCTGTGGGAAGGCATCTCCAGCGCATGTGTGCTTGGCCTGCAATTTATCAAGTCAAGAGACAAATACGACGGTAGAACTAAATCTGCACACCTTCAACCGAGCTACTTCTTGCCTCAGCCTGGCCACACCTTCCAAACAGAGTACAATGGATGGGACGGTCACGTGTACACCCTCCGTGGATGAAGGCCGCGTTTGCGTCCCACACGCACCCAACTCCGTCCCTGCTCGGATCATTCACGCACGAGCATTCCATCGTTACACCCAACCATGGCCACCGCCGACGCCACTCCTATTTGCCGGCCCCATGGATGCTCCTTTCCCTCCCAGACTTTGCTCGGCGCCGACAGCCACATCATAGCCACAGACTTCCCGTTGTCCCCCGACGTATGCTGGGATCCAGAGCCGGAAACGCTCCAAGTGCGCGACTGGAGGGAAGACGCGAACAGGGTGCAAAGCCGGTCAGAGAGGTATATCCGTAGAGCATCATGGATCCGATTGTGTAGCCATACTTACGCAGACTTGGCCAGAGCGATTATAAATGAAAGGACACGCAGAACGCAAACAGATCTAATACAGAGCGAAGGATTGCCGAAGTCCGTCGGACATATGCTAATGCTGGGGCATCCGTGCTTACATCAACCAAGGCCTGAGCCACAAGTGGTAGACAACGATGAGAGCTCGGTCTCCACGCCCATCAAACGACGAAGGACGAATGCCGTGTCATTCGCAAATGTAGCAGATAACACGTACACACGCCCTCCGACGGCGAAGGGCAAATCGAAGGAAGAGAGGAAGGGAATATTGATGGCCGACCCGGATGCCACAGACGTCAAGCCGAAGTCTGTGACATGCCGGAAGTGCAGAGGGAAGATCACGCTGGATAAGCGCGGGCAGTACTACTTGACGGCCTGGAATAAACATAAACGGGTCTGTCAGTTAAACTCGAGACTCGGTGGTGAGTAGAGACTCACCGCGATGTCTACGCTGATCCCTCATACCGGGCCTGCAGGTGATTGATTGTCGACGAACACGAGGAGCTTAGGTGAAAGCTCTCGACATAGTGTTGGTAGTTACCGAGAATATTGAACATGTTGTGATATTCCCCGCACGAGAAACGAGAGAGGCGACAGTCAGAAGCGTTCGCTGGTCTACAACGACGACTTCGTCGAGCCCTGGCCTAAGCAGCGCGCATGCGTGGACGTGGAGCAGTTCAGTGCGTGGGCAGAGGATGTAGCAGCATGTATGAAAACGGACAACGGCAGTTTCGAGCGGCCCCGTCACGCGCGACCGCTATCCGGGCACTGCTTGCCTCTTCAATGGACCTGCTTGCGCCATGGACGGCAGTACGTACTCCTAGGTTCCGCGAGTACGGACAGACACACAAGGCGCAATTTAGGCGCGTCGTTCCGCGCGAAGAAGTGGAGGCTTCCCGTTTCTAAACAAAAACATGCGTGAGCTCAGCGATGCATTTGAGGGGAACGGGATGAAAATGGAGAATAGGACGAAGAATATGATGGACCGGAAGGAATCGAAGGGTAAAGGACATACCAAATCCTTCCTGTATGCAAAGACCACGCCAACCACCAACGATGCACGGCGGGCGGCGACATTGTTCCGTCTCCGTCCCCCTGGGAGCAGAGGGTACATCATTCGCCCCAAATCATTCGGAGAGATGTGCTGGAAAATCCCTGTGCATGTTGTGCTGTATAGTCGTACGTACAATATAGCTGCAGTTGCCCGCTATCAGCGGGACAGCACCGACCGACGACGGAAGCGAAGGGCTCACCACTTCCAGGCGTAGAATAGTTTGCGACAAGGACAAACAACACTCACGCACGACACCCGATAGCGAGGGCAACTGCGGACGCCCAGCCTAGGAGTCTGCCCGACGCACTTGATGTGCGGCCTGCGCAGGTGCTTCCACTAGAATTAATCTGCGGCAGAGGGGGACGTGTCTCACTGGCTCACACAAAGGCAGTCCCGGGGACCTTTGTTCCCGAGATAGATACGGAGACCGGCCGAGCGCGGCGGGATGGATATGGTCGCTGCGTGATGTCCATCGCGGCCACATATTCGTATCAGACTGCCTTTGACTAGAAGCGAGTGCGCTGCAGGTCGACCCGGTCAACGTCGACGGACACTGTAGTAGTACGCCCGGCAAAGGCCGGTCCGGTGGATGGCTCCGATCGCGAGGACCGACGTTCGTCGTTGACGCTTCGATGTTTTGTATGGCGGGGGCAAGGCTTGCGTTCCGTCTCAGCGATTGCTCTCATACGTGCTTGTGCTTCTAAGCTAGTCTGATATGGTTGCAATATACCTCTCAACGGTACACCTATCGATGCAACAAGGAATGGATCCGAATGTCATATGCCTGCCCGCCACTCAATGGCCGCCGCCATCTGCGACTCGCAGGTGTGGTCAAGCGGCGAAGGGGGCCGGAAGACGATGGGCAGCTGGTAGCCTCCAGGTAGGGTATTCGCTTTGTTCTGGCGAACGACGCAATAACCTATCATCAGCCATTCAACCCAGCTTGAGGACGGGGGACTCACAGCCATAGACTCTTGGAAGTCCCGGAGCATCTCCGCTCTCACCACTTTCACGTCCTTGCCGATCCGCCTAGCGTACTCTTCTACGCTTTCCAGCTTCCACCCCTTCAGCGAGCCGGGCCCGTCTTCTGCGGTAGGCGATTCTTTGTCCTCCTGTAGGTGAGAAGGTAAATACTTAAGATCGACTTGTTTGCTGCGACCGCGGTGCAACAGACCTTCATAGACGATACAATGGCCCCTTCATCGTGTATACCCAAGGCGTTGACAGTTCCGTTCAAGATCGCGTCGCCTCCACAGTCATCATCTGCATTTCCGTCGTCGGTGCCACCCACGCGTGCTTTCCCCTGGCCCTCGGGAAGCCCGTGGACCTCGCGCATCGCGCGTGTCGTATCAGCGGCGGGTGCTGGCGCGTTCATGGAAGTTCGACAACGATGGCAGCCCGCTGTGAGAGGCAAAGGAAGGATGTGGCTGAAGCATTCGCGCGCGACGCGCCTCTTTATGCGTTGTGACAGCTGGTCACGTCCTTTGTATTCTGACATCGGCCGTTCTGGCGACAAACACCATTTATGGCCCGCTGACAATTTATTCAGAAATCCTCGCCGACACGATAGTCTATACAAGAAGGAAAAGTACATGTCCCAGCCGATGACAATGGTCATTGTATATTATGCGCCTAACCAGTCTCCAGCCTCACCGCCTGCGGGCTTCGCACGCTTCCAAAATCCGGATATACGTGGTTAAGCTCGGAAGGGTAGTATCCGCGTCCACGTCGAATGTCGCCATCCATTCCCTCGAGACGGTTCGGTCTGCCAGGTAACCAGACTCCGGCGTAGGGAGCGGTGAGATTCCCTGCTTATTTCCGATAGAGCGTCGCGTATATCGTACCCTCCCGCGCCTGTTGGTCCCGTTAATATCCTCTTGGGCCTCCTCGGGCGAGATGACCTCGTCGTATTCGAGATCCACGCTCTCATCGTCGGACACGGACTCATAGTCGTCGTCTTCATTCCCTTCAGCCAACCGACACTGCTCTACACCATGGTCTCCCGTTGCGATCGCTGGTATCTGCGAGTCTCGCGGCTGGCTAGCCGGCGAAGGCCGGAAGACGACGGGCAGCTGGAAGCCGCTAGGCAGGTTATTGTCTTTGTTCTAGGGAACGACGAATAACCTAGTTTCAGGCACTCGCTCAGACTTGAAGGCAAGTGCACTCACAGCGAGTGACTCCTCGAATTTCCGGAGCATCTCTTCCTTCACCTCTCTCACGTCTCTCCCGATCCGCCTGGCATATTCGGCCTCGCTTTCCAGCTTCCATCCCTTCAGTAGAACGGGCCTTTCTTCTGCGGTGGCGGGCGATTGTTTCTCATCCTAATGTGGAAAAGCACGTAGTTCAGATGGACTTGTTTGCTGCGATCGCTGACCAACACACCTTCACGGACGGTGCACCGGTGCGTTCACCGTGTATACTGAAGGCGTTGAGAGTTCCGTTCAAGGTCGCGTCGTCTCCACAGCCATCGTTTGCATTTCCATCATCGGTACCACCCACGCGTGCTTCTCCCTGGCCCTCGGGAAGCCCGTCGACCTCGCACATCGCGCATCTCGTGTCAATAACGGGTGTTGAAGCGTTCATGGAAGTTCGAAAATGATTGCAGCCCGCTGTGAGAGGCAAAGGAAAGATGTGGCTGAAGCATTCGGGCGGGACGCGCCTCTTTATGCGTCGTGACGGCTGGTCACGTTCTTTGTATTCTGGCATCGGCCGTTACAGCGACAAACCTGAATTATGGCCCGGTGACAATTTATTCGGGAATCCTCGCCCACACGATAGTCTATACAAGAAGGAAAAGTACACGTCCCAGCCGAGGACAATGGTCATTGTATATTATGCGCCTAACCAGTCTCCAGCCTCACCGCCTGCGGGCTTCGCACGCTTCCAAAATCCGGATGTACGTGGTCAGGCTCGGAAGGGTAGTATCCGCGTCCACGTCGAATGTCGCCATCCATTCCCTCGAGACGGTTCGGTCTGCCAGGTAACCAGACTCCGGCGTAGGAAGCGGTGAGATTCCCTGCTTATTTGCGATAGAGCGCCTCGGAGTTTGTACCCTTCCGCGCCTCTCGGTCCCGTCAATATCCCCTTGGTCCTCCCTGGGCGAAATCTCGTAGTATTCGAGATCCTCGCTCTCATCGTCGGACACGGACTCATAGTCGTCGTCTTCATTCCCTTCAGCCGACCGACACTGTTCTACACCATGGTCTCCCGTTGCGATCGCTGGTATCTGCGAGTCTCGTGGCTGGCTAACCGGTGACGGTGGCCGGAAGACGATGGGCAGCTGGTAGCCACCAGGTAGGGTATTTGGTTTGTTCTTGGGAACGACAAATAACCTATTCTCAGCAGCTCGCCCAGGCTTGAAGGAAGGTGCACTCACAGCGAGGGACTCTTCGAAGTCCCGGAGCATCTCTTCTTTCACCTCTCTCAGATCTTTGCCGATCCTGCGGGCGTATTCGGCCTCGCTTTCTAATCTCCATCCTTGCAGTAGAGGAGGTATCTCTGCTGCCACTGCGGTCGACTGCTTATGTTCCTATATATGCGAAGGTGCTTGATTCAGTTCAACTTCTTCCATGATGCAATAGCGGAGGAACAGACCTTCGTAGGCAGTACGTTGCCGTGATCGTCGCGTAAATTCAAAGCATCGATGCGAGTGTCCAAGGTCGACACCTCGTCACCGCCTCGATTTCCAGCACTCGCCGTCCCATGCTCGGTGCCACCGTCGCGTACTAATATTTCTGCGGGGCCCGGTGGCACTGCTTCGTCTTGTGTCTGAGGCATCATCCTCGTAGGCGCAGAATCTATGCACCCAATGAGTCTCCGTGCTTCCATGAAGTGGTGCAGTGGGTGAATCAAGATGTAGCGGTTGTAAGAGGTAAGAGTGGGGAATGTGGCTGAAGCGTCGGACGCGCTTCGGCGTGACCACGAAGTGGTGCAGTGGGTGAATCAAGATGTAGCGGTTGTAAGAGGTAAGAGTGGGGAATGTGGCTGAAGCGTCGGACGCGCTTCGGCGTGACCACTGGTCACGTTACCCCGGGCTGCTTCTTCCGCTCCTTCCTGATTCGTGTATGTCTGTTGCCAGTGGCGCCTGAAATGTCCACTGGTATCTTTCGGTCAGTGCCTCAGAGGCTCGGGAAGCGTCAGCATCCGTTCCATGCCTCGACTTCCTTTTGCGATAGCAATGACTGTGGCAAGGATAAATTATGCCCTTCAAACACGAGAGCAGCGCCATGGCCCGAGCTTCTTGTAACCCCTATGATAGCCTGACCGGAAGTGCTATTGCTGTCTTAACCAAAGTTAACCATCGGAACTACCCCCTGACTCGGACGAAGTTCGCCTGACATAATTAACGCGTCGTGCTATCTCCAGGGTTATTCCCTGCCCACTTCCTGATTGACTGTTGCTCCCTACATCTCGACCCGACTCTGACGGCTCTGCTCAGTACTGCGCCACCGAGTATCGGACTCCGGTTATATTTCTAGTTTCCGTCCTTACAATGCGGTATTCCACTCTGACAAAGCGAGCGAATCATATCGCTTTGGTTGACTTCAAGACGAACGTGCGTCCTCCGGAACGAACGTGCGGCACGAGCCCTGTACAGTAGCCTCATCAATGCTCACGGTTGCGTCTCAGGCTCTATCCTATTGGCAGTAAGGAATGAAGCCTTTTCTGGTTACTCAGTACTCAGCCTCAAGCCCTGGCTTATGCCATAAAGGTACGTCCTGCTTCCTCCGAAGGACTTCTTAAGGCCTTTGCGTCCCCCCGGTCCTATGCACTACGTCACGTTGCATGATGGCTATCCCGCAAGACGATGTTGACTCCAGATACGCCGGGCATTCGCCTGCTTCATCAACTGCGCGCGGTGTGCCGTGACTCAATAACCATGGCTATAAGAATGACGGATACGCCTCCCTTCGTTCTTGGGCACAATGCAACCGACCAGCGCTCACCCCCATTCCTAGCACCCACCCTTCACTCTCCATGTCCAGCCAATTATGCACGCAGTGTCCCAACACACGGTCGATATGGGAGATTGTCTATGGTTGCGTCTTGACAGTGTTCGCGTGCACTTGGCTGGCCATCCACCCGAACATACCTGATCAGAGGGAAGGGAAGGTGTTGCGATTCATTCGCCGGGCGGGATTGATGATTATGGCGCTGATCGCCCCAGAGCTGGTGGTCGTGTGGGCGGCGAGACAGTGGATTGTCGCCCGCAGGCTGGCTGAGAACTTTCGAGGTACGCTTCTTCTCTACGTCTTGTGCTCATTGGTGACACTGATTTATCGCCAGGGCTTCAATGGACGCAGACCCACGGCTTCTTCGCACTTATGGGCGGCTTCGCTTTGTGCGGCGAGAACTTCGAAGTCATCCGGACTCTCAATCCTGATGAAGATCTCGATCACTTGGACAGTCGAATCTTCCCTCGTATATCGGAGGAACAGATTCAGGACAAGAGCAAAGCCGACTTCCTGGCGAAGGGCGTTGTCGTCATGCAAACGGGCTGGTTCCTAGTCCAATGTGCTGCACGTATACAGCAGGGCTTGCCCATAACGGAGATAGAGATAACCACGGCCGCTTTTGCCGTTCTCAACTTCTTCACCTACGCACTGTGGTGGAACAAGCCGCTTGGCGTCGATTGTCCTCACCTCATTCGTGAGGACACGTACGGCCGACCTCTTTCCGAGGGAGGTAGCGATGCCTGGCCGGCACGCAGTGCGGATGTGAGACCTCCGGTGGACATCTACTCGGGTGCTTCCAGCTTTCGTCACATCCGGCTGGGGAGCGTAAGCGCGCAGGCCAAAGAGTACGTGACGAAGAACAAGGTGGGCGATGTGCTGGACGACATTGTGGATGTAATCATGATCCCGCTGCGCCCCTTTTTCGCGATGGTCACGGAAGCTGGCGGAGAAGATGACAACTGGCATGCGGTGCCCGTCTTCCACGCCGGGTCACTTACTTATCGCGAGGGAAGAAATCTCGCATATTTCTCCATGCTCATTGCCATGACCTTCGGCGCCATTCACTGCGCAGGATGGACGCTAGAGTTTCCAACGGACTTAGAAAAGTGGATGTGGCGCATCGCATCGCTTACAATCACTGGCGCACCCATCTACGGTATGGTCGTCATCACCATCTATCGATGGTCGGGCGCACCAGATTGGTTGGACAGTGTTCACAAGTTTACGTGCATCTTCGGTTGCGTGATGTACGCTGCAGCTCGGATTATTCTGCTGGTGATTGCTTTTACGACTTTGCGACAACTGGAAGTACTGAGGCCCCACGCGCTCCTATCGGTCTCCTGGACTAATTATATACCCCATATGCAATAATTTATCGTACGGACCTCTGGGATCCATATTTTGACCTTCAGTGATAGTTACACTGTAGGCAGCCGTCTTCAGTTCCGTGATTATCGTTAGACAACGAGAGTGATACGTTGGCTTTGCCCACGTGGTTTGCCCGGAATTAGGCGCGATATCGACTCAGCTGCAGGCCTTAGGTGCATGCATTCTGTCCGGTCTCGATGTCTATAGGACTCGCCGACGAGAGCCTACGTCGCTGAAATACGGACTACGTAGGCTGAGAGGTTCGCACTGGCACGACCTCTGAACGGGATTTTAACTTGGTATAGCTACGAGTGCTTCCCACACTGCAGTCTTATTGTTTCGGTGCTCGCACCGGATCTGATTACGCCCCCATCTCTGAATTGCTGGTAGACGATCCGGCTGGCTGTTCCTTGACTTCCGAGAATCACCCCTGGAGCCTTTAAGCAATGACAATAGCTCTGAGAAACGTGCTTTTGTTTCGCCTGAGGTCACCGTAGCGAATCTTCATTTCAAACGCCTGTGACCCACGAAGAAGGAACAACGTCACGTTCTTATTATTTCGAAGATACCTTGAAACACCCCAAACAGGAGGACTCAATCATCAGGTCGTCACGAAGACGGCGGGACCATCGTGATGCGGTAACGTTCATCCTTTTTGTTATGCAAAGGTATGTATACTCGTCGATTGTCGCCATGGTTCAGCAGTGCCCTCCTCGCTCCATCTGGGTGTCTGTCGCCCGCGCAACGCGTCGTCTGTAGTTCTAGTCCTCCATTCTATCGTTATCCTAGTGCACTCGGGATATGATGTCTTACCCGTACACGCCAACCTACACGTACCCTCCTCCTCCACCTACCTCGAATACTTTGACCCATCACCAACGTATGCACCTGCTCAAATCCACGACCAAACTAGCGAAGGTCTTGGGCGCCCCTCCCAAAGTCGTGGACGTTGAAGTAGACTTCGATTCTTGCGATGTCTACCTTCATCGCAATGACGGTACGCCCCCCTCCGCTCTTTCTCAGTTCCCTCCTCTTACGCAGTTACTCAGATCCAATTCATGTATCCCTAACACCCAAACATCACCGTTCACACTCCACATCATCGTCCTCAACCCGCTCCTCTATGTCTTCTCGACCCTCCACACCCCGCTCTCCTGTCAAGTTGACGAAGTCTCGAAGACCAACGACGCCGAAGCCTGCATACTCTCCTACACCGAAGGATCCAGACGATGTGCTCGCGGCAAAACTCTCCAGCATGTCGCTAGAACCAACCTCCTTCTCTTCCTCAAACATCCAGTCTCGTCCCGAAATACACCTTCCTTCCCGTCCCTCCTACACGACGCCCGTTCTCGCTAGTACCCAGCCGGCTGAGCGTAGCTTCACTATTGAGACCGAGCAAACTCAGCGCTTAAGGAAGATGGATCGAGTCAGGCGCAAACTGGGCGAGGGTGTGCCGTTGGACCTGGTGTTCCCGCAGGAACCGGAGGACACAGACTCTCCTCTCGACGAGAGCCCGCCAGATTATACGAACGGTGAGCATGGTAGTGGGCTGTTTGAAGACTGGGGGTTCGCTCGCAGACGGGGGATTAGAAGGGGCGCCTCAACGCGAGTATGAAGCAGAATGAAGGTGAAGCAATTGTGATCCTGGCGATCGCGACGTCGGTTTATCTCCCATACCTCTCTTCCTCTATCGTTTCGATCATGTATTGCTAGAGTTCCATGCGCCGAAGCTACGTAAGTCTCATGCTTGTCGCCATCTAGGCTGGCGACCGAGTATTCAGGAAGAATAGAAATTGAGTTTCCCTTACTAACTTGATTGACTGACACTGTGTTCGATTCACTGTCTGCTGCACAAACGGGGGTAGAATGTGTACAAGTGAAATGTTACATAGCGGTAGGAAAGGAGTACGATGTATCTACAATTTATCACTTCCCGACACTCACATCAGAAGCCACAGGCCAGTCAGGTATCTCGGACACCTTACTTCGGTCGATTCCGTCCAGCCGCGCAGGCATGGTGCTCATCCGGAATTGATTTGTCCGCAGCGATGATAAGGTATCTTGTGTGAAGTCGACATTTACTTGGGATAGCGTACCATGCCCTCGAATGATGATCATATTGAAAGCAATGCCCTACATAACGCGATGAGTGCGTTTTAGAGGACGCCAGGGTAATAACGCTCACAATAGTCTGAACGACCTGATGGATCCGGGTGTCAGCTGAGCATATGCTGACGACAAGAGCAATAAGTAACATACGCAATCGGAGAGGGCGTAATCGGCGTTGTTGTTTAGCAGGAATGTCACGAGGGTGAGAAAGGTGAATACGGTATAGAGCAGAGCGGATTCCACAATGATACCAATGAGTCTACTGACTCGGCTCTGGAATGTGTTCCGCCAACAGAGATCCCGGGTTTCACGGCCGTGTGACCAGAGCTTGAAGACAATCATCCCTTCACCGACAGATGAGAGCCTCACATAGATGCCTCTTTATACGTACATACCTGTGGTCAGGGTATTTTGTGCCAACGTCGCAGCGATCGATACAGTAATGAATGGTGTTTGATCGGAAGAGATACTCCCTAGGTTATGTCTGTATGCAGTGACGTATATCGCGAGCGCATTAGGCACTTGATACGGATGAACAGAGTATCACTGGTGAAGCTCAGTGGAACTCACCAACAAACCCGAGCCATAGGATAACTGGGAGCACAATAATGGGCCAGCGGCGGTTAAAGATGATGAAGCAACGGTATATCTAGGCGTTCATTGACAAGGTGAGTGTTTGAAGGCAGAATGGGTGCACACCAGGATGAGGTCTCCCACTGTGGTCTGCAGGAGATAATTGACGAGTTTCACGACATTGATCCAGGACGAAACGTGGCTCAATTCCCCTTCAGCTCCACCTGGACCCGTATAGTACGCGAAGGCGTCCAGAACGTGTACCAAGCACAGCGCCGTATCATTACTTGCAACAGCAAACATGTAAATCGTGACGACTAAGGCTAGGCGGTGAGCTCCTGTCTTGCCAGTCTTCTTGAGAAGGAGAACGTTCAAGCAATGGCCCGTCGTTACCAGCAATATCCCTGTTCAGCATCGTGATGATCAGTGCGATAGCGCCGCTATAAGTAGACCGACCGTAAAAGATGCACGTCATGAATAGTGCGACTATCTGCGCTGGTCCGATACTGAAGCTCCGGGCCATCCCCACAGATGACCTCGAGACCGACGCGTGAAGGACGCAGGTCAGAAAGCCTAGTCTATATGCAAACCATTATAAACTAGTATTCTTATCCGGCAGGCTGACAGAACCTTCCTACTGAAAGATAAGAGTCGTTGGACGAGGTACAAGATACGCGCCTTTGCCTCCCGTATGAGACTTCATTAATATAAGAACAGGACGACATATTCACAGAGTCGTGGGCGTGGCAGTGGTCGCAATGTCATGTGGATTGAGATGAAATCTTTTGTCTGACGTGAACTATGATGTGATAATTAATCATAGGAGATATGGATATGGTCGTGGCCCTGCCAGTGACAAAGCCTATACACGCAGGCGATTTAGATCCGCTAGTTAGAGCGACCTTTAGCATGAAGGACATACTAGACGCGCTAGAAACGATAGCTTCCTCTATTACTGGCTGATAACGGTCGCCATCACGGGTCCGGATCAGCACAGGGTCATTTGAAGAGCAAGCATTCCACGGAGCACTTTTAAATCCTTCGAAAATCGCACATGATACCGCCATATGTACGTTGGAAAGGGAATTCAACGGACCAGTGGCATGAACATGGGGAAAGCTGTACGCATTGAGAATCAAATATAACGATTCAAGTCAAACCAAAGGCACATTTTGCACTTGCCGTTGAGATCAGGCGCGCGGCGATCCGCACGACTCTCTTCGGCGAGCCACTAGGGCGCCGAGGCAGGAGGCGAGAGCGGTAAGAAGGGGAAGACAAGGGGGGGACGCCAGGAGCTATGTGTCGGCGACTGATTTTATGTCACAGCTTGTGGTAGGCTGTGAAGGTGAAGGCGGAATCGACTGGATCGGCCGGCACAGTTATTTCCGCTACCTTGGGAGCGAGTCTTGTACCCCCGAGCCCCAAGTCCTTAGCAGGTTGTCCGCCATTTCAAGTTTTGCTAGATCCATTTATTTACATTTGTGTGTCTCCCAAAGAGGCAACATCTTGTCACGCGACATTGTGCTCATCCCATGGCTAAATTCCTGGAGTCTATGGTTCAAACGTTCAGGTTTTCCCTATATCGGGGGATACGGATGCACAGATAGCTGAGCTATTTATGGGATTTGATTGGAACATACAACCAACTCCTACGTGATTGTGGGGACCAGGCGCATTCCGGGAGACGCCAAGTCTCTCGGACTCGGACTGCGAAGGTTTTCATATGGTTTCATGGTTCAGCCCTTTACCAGTCTCTATGTCCAAGGTAGCGGGTTGTGCGGTGCTCGCATGCCCTTACCTCCCTATCAGAAACCCGGCCAAAGTAGCGACTCGCTGACGTAGTCTCATTTAGTAACACAAGGTGATATTCAAGTACGGCGGCACATGATGAAGCTCATAGCCTCTCCGCTGAGATGAGCACTCGAGCATAGAATCCGAGTCGTCGTCCGAGTCGGAGTCAAGCCAACAACAGAAACTAATACAAGTATATCGCAGGAGACAAACCAGAGGGTATCTACATGATAATCGCATCGCTAACAATCAATCAAGCTAGGTTTACTACGGGATTGAATCGCCGTAGTCTGAGGAATATGGATGAATCATTCATGAGTTCCAAGCGAAGATGAAGCAGGAAAGCACGCAGAGTCAATACCGCATCAACGGCAGCCCAATCACTTGAAGTACCGGATGACATCCCGCCCCAAGCATCCACCCCCAAACGATTCTCTATCCCACTTGCTTGCAATCCAGCGGACATACAAGTGGTTGAACAACCGTCCGCGCCCTCAGCAAGCCGCCTGAGGTATAAAAGTGTGAAGTCGATCCGTGACGTCTTCCAGCCGGTAGTCTGCTTAAGACCGACGGCTTTCTGGGCACACAGCGTCGCGGTATGGATATCGGCAGGGACTGACACTTCCTCCCTCCCGGAACCACCCATTATGATATCTGCGCGACGGCCGATCCACGTGTCTAGCATCGTGATCTGTAACCATAGGAGAGGAGCCGCCGTCATGCTCCATTCAGCACCACTGTCGTTCTTGACTGCTACCCTTCCTTGAGTAGATCGACTCCGATCGTACTCTTCGCACCATCTGCGATCAAGAGCACCGTCCCGCAGAAGCGGATAAAGACGCGCCAGGATGGGGACACCGTCTGTGACCCTTGCCGCGGGCCAGCATTGCGCAACCCTCAAGGTGAACTCAGCCAGATTGCAAGATAACCAGCTTCGGAGACCGCCATATTCGCACCCATAGTTGTTGGCTACCTTGAAGTCGTCTGTAACAAGGACATTGTGCTGACCGCCTCGCATAGCTTCGAATGCAGTCGACGGTATTTCTGCGACACCCATGCCAGACTGTATCGCTGACATCGCAGCCGTACAGGCGGCCTTCCGCTGATCCCAATCCCACCCATGGAGTAGATCATGAGGAAAGGAGTTCGCGACCGCCATACTGCCGCATATCGATAGGATGAATGGAAGCGTGGGCGCTTTCGGCTGATTCCATTTGGAATTCCACTTGGGATCGGAATCACCCTCTAGGCCACCCATAACCTCCTTGATGCTAATTTCGTGCCAATCCGAGTGGGAGGCTTTCTGACGAGCAGTACGCATGACCACATCGACCGAATTATAGCCCCAGTCGGTAAGCGAGGCCATGGAATCCCCAACTTGAATTATTCCTGTCGCAACCCGAAGACACATCTTCAGCTCCGTGGGAGAGGCGACACGGCACTGGGGCTGTATGTGGGGTGCTAATCCTGAGTATCGCGAGAGCTGTCCTACGCCTTCCTGGTAACGTGTGCTTATACTGCAGTGTCGGCCCGTCATTTGGAGTTCCCTCTGCAGCTCGTCGACCTTGACTATCTTCATATGGAGCAAGATCCCAAGCTGGATCAGGTCCGACAGGTGGATCTGTGTGGTCGGAGCATCAGCGGATGAAGGGATCGTCTCTGCGTCGAGATAACCATCGGCTGGAAGTCGCTCCATATCCAAACCTATGTCGGACATCAAATTATACCACGTCGCCTTGCGCGGTACCGCCTTCGAGTATTGCAACTCCAACAGACGCTGCGCTGCTGACACTTGACGTTTTTCTCGCCACGACAAGCTCCGAAGTGGTATCTCTCCTTGGCTCTCCTTGTCTCGACGGTAGAGCTTTAGCTTTGGTGTCCCGTTCACGGTAGGACCCAGAGCGCCGTCAGATACCTCTAGATAGTGCGCGACCATGACGTCGGGTATGGAGTTGAGTAGCTCTCCATATTGGTTCCTCTGCTCCATCAAGCTATCTATCGCACTCTCTGTCCTAATCGATGGACGGGCATAGCTGATGCGAAGCCTCCATTCGCCGAAGCTCCAGCGATACTTGTTCTTCTTCGACCAGACTCCAACAGATGCGGTATTGACTTTACCGCGGGCAGTAGAGGACGACGCGTACTGCTGAATAACCTGAAGGATAGCAATGAATAGAGCCACAAAGGCCACTATCAGGGCGACAAAATCCACCGACACTGCCATGCACCTGTCGAGAGAAATATCATCAGCGCAAGAAGGACCTAGGGTAATATTGAGATTCGTACTGCTAATGTTGTAGACCGGCCGCGGGGCAAGTATTTTGAGTTGAGCAAGGGAAACTTGCAGACCCGGAAGACCCATGAAGTGCACACATTTTATGCACTCCTTCGGTCGTGTACAAGGTTCAATGAGTTCAGAGCGGTGCTTGAGTGAATGAATACTTTCAGGTAGTTCGTGCCCGCGTCACTTAGTATGGCAGAGGGGCGATGTAAGATCTACTTGAATCTGCTTCCGTGTATCTGTGTACTGCATTAATCGGGTGAAATGAGATATGATCCATCGGGTAGGGTGCGTCGCCGTGACGCTGTATCACTTGAATGTCAAGTACAGCATTGCTGCGGCATGCAGCTACAAATAACGACAAAAGACGCCTGCAAACACGCGCAAAACACGCTCTGCCGCATCGCTTCTGAAGTGCCGCAACTCGGGACCGAAGAGATATGCAAGTAACAATAGCCATATGCATAAGCTTTGGCAGTACTACTTATTCGAGAAACGAATGAAACCGCGGATCTAGAGATCGAAGCTACAGCAGACCAGGATTGAGGGTTGGGCGGCGATAGTCGGCAACAAGAACGTGCATAGCATAGAACGCCCGTGAGAGAAGTGTAGGCGAGTCCACAGCATCATACTTCCATTCCGATCCAATATACATTCCATGGCTGTGATCCACACGTGAAAACTAGCGTTGAAGAACACGTTGTCCCCCCCCTTTCATCACAGCTTAGTGACATCGGTGAACAGCACAAATGATCGCTCGAAAGTCGAATGACACAGGTGCGGCGGTGAGGGCTCCGGTCAAGCCTAGCACGAGCTAACACGGCTCGATCGGCCAGCCGAGCACCTCCAGACTCACGAGTCCCGTCGCTCTGCGCCGCAGGTAACAGCTCGCTATAGCATCGCTGGAGCGGCCCGGGAATAAAAATGCGTAGTAAATGCCCGTGGGCGGCATACGTTATGCACCACTGAGGCCCGAGTGTGCCACTGGATGACATGGCAGTCATCAGGCACGGCAGCGCAGGGTGTAGTATACAGGCTCTAATAAATACACTAAATTCATACCTAAATCCCATTATATCCTGAGGTAATATAAAGCCTTCTACAAGAGCCATCAGCTAAGTGTCCACTAGAAAGGGGAACATGTGCTCACCAGATAAGGAAGAGATGGGGGGAGGGGGGGAACAGGTCGATGCAGCGGTTCCAAGGGCCTCAAATCGGATGAATACACCATAGGCAGTGATTCCGGAATGAACACAGCCCATGTTTACCATATAATATGTTCATAGTTCTAGGAAGGCTCAAAACCCGGATACCTATGAGGGGATTACTCACCACAATGCAAGAAGATAACATCACCAATTTAATCCAGGCTCACCAGGTATACATCCATCTAGCATGGAATGATACCTGGGGCAGAGAGAGGCTCTGTCGACGTAGGATGGTGCCGGTTGCCAGCAGCAGACTATTCGGATACATCGAGACCTAATGCACGGAAACGCACAACAAAGTCCCTTAAAAATTTGGTATACAGATATATATATATATATATATATATATACCAGAAACCATATAAGACTCGACGAAAGGGTCAGGATATGCAGAAACGGGCATACAGCTGAGAAACATACTGGATGTGACTGAGATCTTAGAACGACTCATACCCTCCCGTAAGCGCAGTGATTTGCCGCAGCTCGGCCTGTCGTCCTTCAGTATCTCAAAAAACGAGTAGCAGTCGATATGAGAGTGCGGAGGCGGACCGAGAGGTGCGGGAGGCCCATGAGTGTAGAATGAAGGAGATTCACTTGACCCGCCACTGCTACTTAACCCAGGAAGGGCCCCGACGTCATTAGAGACATAGACCAGTCTCCGGGTTTTCACGGTATCCGCTCAGATCGCCACCATACCAGGACCTCCCAGGAACCCGCAGGCTCCAGAAAAGGAGAGACGACGCAAGAGAAGAAAGGAACGCCGCCGAGAATACAGTGCCGACAGCGATAGCGGAGGCGAAGCTACCAAACAGCCGAAGGTACCACAGAGGATTGACGGGACATGAAAATGGATAAGTATTGGGACAGGCAGAGGTCGAGGACGTCGTGCGGGACGCTGGGGTTGGTCCTGGTGTATCTCGAGTGGTGTGGCTCGTCGGGACTCGGGATGAATGGCCCTATCCCCAAAGTGGATGTCACAAAGCGTAATGAAGAAGAATAAATCCGCTGGTGATAAGCCAAAAAAGCATAAAACAGCGGAATGTGAGTCTTCCTGTGAGAACTTCAGGATATGGTCACTGCTTCTTCACACGAATCCTTAACAGTAGGTTATTTCACAGACAACGTACCTGATACGCAGAGGCCTACTCTCTTCCCCTCTCGGGTAGTCTCGTTCATCCATCCATATAGGCTCGTACCTGGGACGGGCTGCCATCGCTCATGTCCATGCTGTTTCTGAACGCGAGTCTGCTAAAATTATCCAGTTGAGTTGTCCGAAATCGTGATCATACGCTAAAGGCATGCATACTGAGACATACATCCTGAAACCTGATACTCACGGGACATTGCCCGAGGTGTGACTGGGAGCGAGTGCCTGTCGCACCGAGTCGTCACATTATTCTTCCGGTATCTTGCCTGTCTCCGCTACTTACTGCTCGATCGAATTCCCCCCCGTAGCGGAGAAGGTGATCCATGATTTTCCTGCAGAGCAATCGCATCCGGAGCATCAGTTTGCTGAGGCGTGTGCTTTTAGAGGGCGCACCTCAACTGATTTATCGTGCCACCGCAATTGTCAACATACAGACTATCGGAACCGTGCGAGGTCCCCTCCGAAGAAAACATGGGCTAGATCGACATACTTGACACTATGCCTATGGAAAGGCTGCCTCGTCTCACATGCTCTGCCACCGTCCACGTAAACGCAGCTTACCTATCAAAGCATAGAGATAGTTCCCCTTCCTTGTCGCTGTTACGGCCTGTGATAGCCATGAACGTATCGATACTCCCACCGCATGTACCCGCGCTCCACCCTATGTTATGCATTCGTCAGCAGTGAGGCACAGTTCTGGTAGCGTACCATTATTTAGAAAGGCCACAATGGCATGCGCGAGTCAGAAAGTCTTGCGAGACGTCGGAACATGTCAGAAAACGACTACTCATCACGACTAGAGTCGTATCCCCTTCATTCTACGCCCGGGTTGTAACCTGGGGTTAGGGGAAAGGTAGCTTAGCATACGACAGAGTGCGGATCCACCATTGATTGACTTTCTTTAGCGCTTGGATATCTAATTGGCGTCAGTGAGAGCCTTCCGGTAGACAAACGAACGCTAGTGCTCGGATACCACACACAGCTTCCACCTCCTCCATTTGCCTCTGCAGCTCTGCTGGACCCTCTTCTTTCCCGGCGGATGTCAGACGACGCGAGGAGAGACCAATGAGCATATCCCGGCGGCAGAAGCATTCTCCATTACCTGATATGGACCATTATCTGAGGATCTCGGACTTTCTGTCGGAAAATATTTCTCCGCATGGGCAGCATTCCGCCGGCCCCGCGAGATCAAGGCGTCAACGTCCCAACATTTTGGTGACGTTTCCTGTCATCGTTGCGCAGGATCGTCCTCTCGTCCCTGCGCTCCGTGAACCCCCCAGGACCGCAATCCAGGACAAGAGCGGCCTCTCGGAGGGCTGGAAGTGTTGGGAATTCGAAGCCGCGAAGGACGTAAACTCGGGCGGTCATTGCGGCCCCAACACAGTTTTACGAGCCTTCGCCCTTCTCACGCGCTGTCAGGAAGAGTTTAGCTCTGCACCTCCGACGCAATCGATTTCCCCCTCTCCGTCCACGCCCTCGTTACCAACCACCCACCGCTCCGACGCGGGGTAACTGACAGCGTCCGGCGTCTGCTGGCGCTCACTCTTGCTCTCTCTCACCACGCTCTTTGTCTGTGTCTCGTCTGGATTGAACCCTAGTCGCTCTCTTAGTCTGAATTCTTGCTTCACTTTCTTTACCTGTTATTTTCCGATTACATCTAATATTCTGGCTGCCGATCCTCCAGCCGAATCTGAGGTCTACTATCTTTTATGTCCCCCGCGCCGGGTCCCAATGACTCTGGCGCGTCTGCGAGTATGACGGCACCTGCCTCTGATACCCACCGTCCATCGCAGTCGTCCTCAGCTTCCCAGGCGCCCGCTAACGTCGCAGGCGACCTTCCCTCTGGTGACGATTCCACCTCGGTCTCTACCCATACGTATACTGCCACGGCTACCGCTACGGACACGCAGACCGCAACTGCTACGGCCACTGCTACTGCGTCGGCGACGAAGACTGCTACCGTAACATCTAGCGCCACGACCAGCGCAGCCCCCCCGCCGCCGATGAACGTCGGCGGTACCCCTCCAGATGATGAAGATAACGACGGCACGACGTCCACTTCAACCTCAGATACCTCCTCGTCGCAAGCGACACATCACCCGCACTCCCACTCTGACTCTGCGGATGCGAGCGGAGCCGCCGGTACTGTCACATCCAGCTCTAGCCAGTCGTCCAAGGCCCCACATTCTTCCCCTACGCCCGCTAATCACCAGTCTCACCCGTTCCTTCCGTCGTCCAACTCTGATACTGATTCCGACCCTGCTCCTGGATCAGAGCAAGGTCAGTCTAGTCCGGGCACTTCATCTCCACAGCCGGCGGGTAACAACCGCGTCCTTGGACCTCAATCCACGGCATCGAACCCGACGAGCAGCGGACGGCCGGCAGGTAACTCAGAGCAGGCAGAAAAGGAGGATTCGGAAGTCGTCGTAAACCAGTCAGGCCAGGGGAGCGACGAGAGGTGAGTAAGCGGTCCGGGCTTAGGCCTCTCTTATCTTTCTATTCCCTCGCACTGTATCCATTCCACGTATATGGCCACTATCTGCCATTCCCTTCCGAGTCTGTACTACATCAGATCTCGTTTTCGGTGGGACCCAGTATACGGTGGGTGTGGTAAATGGCAGAAGGCGGTTCATTCCCCTTCAGACTTTTACTTTCCTGCGTCTCTATTCTGCGTGCTCGTATCCCCGCGTGCTATCTGGCTCCAAACCTGGTCGGTACGGCCCCGGTCTCGAGGCGGATGTCACCCGTGGGGTACCTGCCCGCCCTCACTTCCTTTCCTCTGCTCTCCGTACAGATATCATCATCTGTCTTCACCTCTTCCTCCCCACCCCGCTGACATCTACGATACTAGCTCTCCCGGCCCTGTCAAAGCGAACGCTCACCTTGCCGTCACACAAGGTCCCGCCGCTCCCTCTTCGCCTCCCGAGCCCGCCAGTACGATCACGTACGCCCACAGCAAGCTCACGACGGCCACTTCGACGTTCACCACGACGCTGCGGAGTACGGAGGCCCACGGGCACGTGGTCGAGTCGACCAGTACCGGGACGAGCACGTACACCTTCGCCGTCCCCGACTTGACAAGCACTTCCTCGCCGTCTTCTGGCCACAAACCCGACCTTGGCGCGATCATCGGAGGCGTTATAGGCGGTGTCGTCGCCTTCGTCCTGTTCCTCGTCCTCGTATGCCTTGTGCGCAGGAAGCGGCGCGGCGTCGTCCTCGACTCGCGCTTCACGGGGCGCAAGAGCGGGGACAGCATCAAAGCCCGTCCCTCCGAAGACGACGGGGAAGGGGAGGCGGGAGATGCCGAGAAGGGCGCGGGCGGAAGGTGGGGCTACGGCACGATCGCGCGCGCGAGCGAGTCGTCGGACTTCCATATGGAGGGCAACGACGCGGACTTTACGGACACGGACGCGAGCCTGAGCTTCAACCCGTTCTGGGACCCGTCGGAGCCGCCGAGCGCGCGCACGAGCGTCGCGAGCCCCGTGCCGAACGGGAGCGTGCGGTCGAAGGAGAGCCCGGGGAATGCGCAGGCGAATAGTGGGAGCGTCAGGTCGAGGGAGAGCCCGTGGAACGGGCACGGCCCGGCGAGCTCGTCCGTGCGGGTGGTGGAAGATGGTGAGTCGAGGAGCTTCAGGAGCGCGGAGGCGGAGGGGGCGTCGAGTGTCGGCGCGGTTGAGAACGACTCGTTGCGATCCGGGTCGGGCGCCAGCAGGGCCGTGAGGAACCAGATATCGTGGTACTCGGATTGCGGGCACGAGCGCACGTCTTCGAGAGGGAGCGGCGGCGCGCGCGTGTCGCGGTATAGCCCCGCCCACCGGAGCCGGCTGTCGCAGACGCAGGTATGGGGTGAGGAGAACGGCGAAGTAGAGGGCGGGGGTGTGGGTGAAGTGCCGCGACCGGAGTCGCTTGTATCGATGTGCTCTTCTACAGGAGGCGAGAGCGCGGTATCAAGAGAGGACAGCGTGTCGCCGTCGCCGCCACAATTCGCACCGTTCACGACGCCTTCGCCGGAACTTGTCTTCCGCCTGCCGAACATCCACATCAGGATCGGCGACGACGCGGACCAGCGCAGCTCTATCGCGTCCGTTGACTCCGGGACCACCTCGTCAGGGTCGATACGATTTGAGCAGCCCGAGCATGCGGAGGTCTTGGACGCCCCGCCCGCGGAGACGCGGAGCTTGCACGGGAATGAGGTTCACGTCCCGAAGAGAATCGGGTTGGCTCCTGGCAGCCCGAGTGCTGCAAGCTTTGGGGGACGGAGTGTGGTCAGCGTTGGTTCGAGGAGTGTGATGAGTGAGGGAGAGATGAGTTTGACGGGGAGCTGGAGAGGACCGAATTTGGAAAACTTGGTTAATCATGCAAGGAGGCAGACGCAGCAGGGGAAGAGTTGACGGGAGCAGGGGGTGCGTCGACTCACTTAAATCTTGCCGTATGGCCGTACTAATGGTGCCCGCTCCGGGTTGCAGTAACCATTCAACCACTGATATCCCTTGTCTCCACGCCGGAGTTGTATATCTTCTAACCACGAGTACCATCGACGACCGAACGGACGCGAGACACAATGCCTGATTATACCCCCACCTCGTCTTGCAGACTTATTCTCATACCACTGCATTTGTCTGACGAAACTGTGTATCTTTAGGTGTCTTCTATCCATCACTATTCTTGCTTGTTGTGCGACTCTCACTTGCTCTACTGTTCTTGAATAAATTTTCAGCTTTCTGTGTGCTATATTTGTCGCTCATTCTTGCGTAGCAGCTCTGATTTGTTATACACGCATGCGTCGGAGATGTATGATCCTCTGTAATCCCTTATTTTCATTGTGATCCTTACAAAATCCTGTTATCCTAGTCTACATAGACCTCTCTTTTGCTCCACACAAACGCAGACCTCAAAGGACTGTCAGCGAGATATCAGTTACTCATGATCGCAGGGCCTCATAAACTCTCCCCCTCCCCCACCCACGATTACATCGTTCTTACAGTTAGACTGTCGCAATATCGATGCTGCGCAAAATATCCATATTGCTTGCGGCTGTTGCCGGCCGTGACTACTGTGGTCTGCGATCTTTCGACAAACTCTTGTCAGTCTACCTCTGCCTCAGGGATTTCCTTATCCTGAGTTTGGATGACTCTGCGAATCACGACGCGCTCCCAATAAACGGAGTTCCGGTGCACTCTATATGCTACAGTGCTTCAGGACAGCTCGGGAATTGTGCCACAGGCCGCAACCCGGTTACCCCTAACCCCTTCCGCCTGTCTCTATTCTTGAATCGGCTGCTTCTAGTCGTAGAAGACGACTTGCTGGGCCTCTGTTCTCTTCATATCATGCATGACATTCGTCCTGGTTACACTCATACGCACACTTGAGCATGGCTGTTACGCTGTGTACATTGCATCGTCCTAGCTGGCAAAGGTATATACTAACCCAAGCGAATCGTGGTCGGGAAGGCTTGAGGAGGAGGCGTCAATGACCTTGGGTTATCTGCGAGTACTTGCTGCACTACTTCCGACTCACTTGAGTCTGCGGAGCTAGTTCTAACACGCGATGAAGATGGCTCCCGAGGTTCCTCCGTCCGCTCGTCCGTAACAGATCCCGAGAGTGATGGGCGCCCATCGCAATACGTTGTTTTAGAGGCAGTGTTTGGGGCTTCCCAGCTGAACTGCCAATACACTCGATCTCACAGCTTCGCGCTTAGGACAAAACAATAGCCTTCTCGGAGTATTTGGAATGGAGCCCGAATGACAGACAAGGTCCCCGTTGACACCACACGAAGACTGATTTGTTGGTCCATACCCGTTGTCCATGCTCCACGCATGGAGTCTTCCTGTTGAATTCGGACCCTTCTCTGTCGTTCAGACTCCAACTTTGTCTACCCGTTCGTCGTCAGCTGTCATGAGTCGCTATGGGGCTGTGCGTGTACCCTTATATCTGTGGTGCCAGCAGCCCGAGTCGAGAATCCTCCTCTGTGTTTGCCCCGTCGTCTGCTCTTCAGGGTTAACTATCTTTCACGCGCCACCATGTATCTCCCGGATTTCAATCACTCAAGTACTCAAGCCCCAGGCGCGGCTATACACCCTGCCGATCTTCTAGACATCTCATCACCGAATAACGATGTATGTGATAACTTGAATGACTGTCGGACCCTCTCCAATATTGTCTGGAGCTGTCTCGCGACGATCTTTGCGTGCACGTGGGTCGCAATCCACTGTAACATTCCACCTCCGCACCAGTCGTGGTTCAGGAAGCTCGGCCGCCGTCTAAAAACTACAATTGTTGCTATCATTGCCCCGGAGCTCGTAGTTTTCTGGGCGACCAAACAGTGGCTTACATCAAGGACGCTGGCCGAGGAATATGCGAGTGCGTACATATTGTGACTGGCATTGACTAGCTGAGTTGACCGCGTTATAGAAAGCCGTAGCTGGACACAGACGCATGGCTTTTTCGCCATTATGGGAGGCTTCGTCATATATTGCGGGGATAAGCCTGTAAGGGTACTTCACCCCTACAAGGACTTAGGCTCATTGGGGTCCGCTCTACCTGAGCATCAATGCAGTTGTGGTGTCGATTGCAGCGAAGTGGCATGCTCACAGCGCATACATATTGCGCCGCAGTCCTCAGGTTCAAGGAGCACTGACTGCCACCAGGTTTGTGATGAGGCTTCGCCTTCCCCTTTACCGCAGTCTGTGTCGCGCGTCTCTGAACTCCTCCATCCGATGGCCTCTTGCGGGGGACTAGCACCCACATCCCGTCCTGATGAATTTGACATCGCCATGCTGCCTTTCCCTGACATTACGGAGGAGGAGATCAACGATAAGAGCAAGGGCGACTGGCTTTCGAAGGGCTTTGCAATCCTTCAGACCTCGTGGTTCATCTTCCAATGTATCGCGCGTCGTGCCCAGCACTTACCGCTCACCGAACTCGAACTGGCTACCTGCGCATTTGCCGCGCTCAACGCTGTGATTTACGCTTTTTGGTGGCGGAAGCCACAGTCTGTGGCATGTCCGTATGCGATTGGCAGACGCCAACGCGCAAATTTGGGATATCCGGATGACGGGTGCGACGCCGGATGCAGCAGTCTCAATGATTCTTACATCTCCCCGCAGTCAGCTGTTGTCCCGAATCCTTGGTGTAAGGACGTCGCTATCAGCCTCTCCTGCAGTTTGACCGCTGTCTGTAACTACATGTCGTTTGGTGTCACTGGACCTGTGGCAACATTCGTGCAAGTCCTGGCACCGGATGACATCGCCGAGGATAGAGTGTACGTGGACGAGTACTATGCCGGAGAACTAGCGGATAGCGATGTTGTGATACTGTCGTTAGTGCTAGCAGCATGCTCGGCCGTCTTCGGCGCCATCCATTGCATCGCCTGGTCACTCGAATTTCCCTCCCGCGCGGAACAAGTGCTCTGGCGGACGTGCGCGCTCGGGATAACGTGCATTCCCCTTCTGGAGTTTCCGACGGTCTGGATTCTGCCCGGGATATTGGACAAACACGGGATCGTCACATTCTATTTGACTGCGCTGTTTGGTGTGATAGGTATCTTGATATACGGCCTCGCTCGAATCATCCTCCTGGTGCTCTCCTTCCTCTGCCTTAGGTCCCTCCCTGTCGGTGCATTCAAAGCCGTTTCCTGGATGAACTTTGTTCCCCACATATAGCCCTTCTTCAATGCCCTGTCATCCGTACCTGTCAGCTACTTCTGTAGTGGAGCGTCGGACAGTTCTCGTCTCGCCGCTGTATTTTTACACCTTCGTCCTCAGTCGGGCCTGTCCAGGGCGACTTTCTTGCGTTGCTCCACCTTTTCCATCTCACGCAAGCCCGCGTAGTGCCACTACTGGTTCTTACCTATTACATTCTCCTGGGCAGCATATCGTAGATCTACCAAGCTCTCTCAAACTCTCCCGTGTCAACCAAAGTGGTGATGGTACCGCTTTCAGTCGTCGTCAGTTCAGCATAGTTAGTATCTAAGCGGCATATCTCGCTGCAAGTATGCGCCTGCGCAATTGACCGCAATGAACCAGCGCGGAGATGGTATCTCTTGCACTGCACGTCGTCAACCCAGCATAAATCAATATCATACATTCACCTTTTGGCTTCCTATTCGTACATATTATACATGCTTCGTTACCTCACACCTCCAGGCTCGCTCGTTCACAAGGCAGGGGTTCACCCAACGGTCACTACCCGTCCAAACGTGCCTCCCGTGCCCCAGATTCCCCTCCTAAGACACGCGAGCTGCACGATCTGCGAGTGGTCGATGAACAGGTTCGCAGTCGCGCCCGTGTTCTGGATGTGATAGGAGAACACTAGAGCAAGCAACGTTATGTAAATGGGACTCTAGAAAGGACGGCAGGAAGCGCACCTTCGGGCTCGGCAGCCTCGAACATGACCTTATCTGTAGGCAGCTTCGAGTTGATACCGCTGATCACGTCGGTCCGCCAGGACTTGACGTTCTCGGTGATGCCCTCGGATTCAATCATTATCATCTACAGCCCGCTTTCGTCAGTAACATGGTACGGCGCAGAGCACGGGAGCAAATACGGACATGAGCGCCGGCGTTCAGGAAGTTGTGCGCGCGCTCGATGACCCAGCCGACGTCGCGTGTGCCGGCGGATTCGAGTTCCTCGACGGAGGCGTCTCCGCCTGCGCCCCATTGAATCTGCCAATGATTTAGAATAACGGTAATGAATGTGGTGGGGATACTACGTACCCCGACTTCAGGCTTGGGTTTTAAGCCGTGCTGAGCGGTCAATTCGATGAGGAATTGCCAGTCGGATGTAGGGATGGAGAGGAAGCCGGAGGAAATCTCGAGCACGTCGAAGCTGTTGTTGAAGGTTTAGGATGTAATCACTGGTCTGGGACCGGTCCCCACGTACCCGACATCCTTGCAAGCTCGGAGGTACCTCGAAATCTGGTCCTTGCTCCCGCCCGAGGTAGCAATGACGCGCTCAATGAATCCTCCAGTACTAACATAACAGTCTTTGCAACAAGAAAGCGTGAGTTGAATGATATCCTTCCTCTCCGTTGCCAGATTCACCACTTACTGTGCTTGTGTGCTGTGTCGATAAACGCCTTCAACCTCTCTACCGGCATCAACGAGAAGCTGCCTCCCGCAAATTTAATCCCATCCACGTATTCTCCCCAATCACTGAGCAGCTCGTCAATGTATGTCTGCCCGACAGGGGCGTAGTAGGGTCCGCGAATCTCGGTCAGTCCGTGCTGCCGTGGTTTCGGCGGGAGCGGGTTCGTCGGGAGAAACTCGAATCCCGTGCCAGTCGGACGAACTTTGTTCTGTGACGCTCGGGGAGTGGCGGAGAGGAATCGACGAGATACGGAGGAAGTAGGGATTCTGGCAGAGCGGAATACCCCCGTGAGTGGGCGAAGGGTGCGTAGCATGGACATGTTTGGTGGTGTGGTAGTGACGGGACATCATCGCGAATTGGGTATATCTACTTGCGCACTGTAACAGTGTCAGAGGTTGCGTCAGAGAGGAGTCCCGTTCTGCGTAGTTGGAGAGGTGCTCATTGAACATGACGTCATTCTGCCACACTCCCACGCTTCAGAGAAGCCACCTACATTCCACGTGCGTCCCGTTTCGGATAAGCTTCGACGGTTAAGATTACGAGCACAGGCACCAGCTGTCCTGCAGTAGTTCGTAGCTTCCATCCGCCGTGTCGCAGAGCCCGAGTGTCTGTTCGAGGGAGAGCGCGACGGAGATCATGGTTCTCCATCTGCACCGTCCTTGTCGTAGCATGATCGCTGCCACGCATCTCATGGCAGAGGCCGCTGTCCATTCTGAGTTTCATGGGCATACCTTGCCCTGACGGTACGCACAGCGACTTCCCCGCTTTGCGGCCGACGCGGCGCTGCCAACCGCTGTCGGCGGGGTGCCTGGGCTACGGCACTTGCTTGCCCCCATATTTCCTGTAGGCATTCACTCAGTCGTGTCAGTCGACTCGAAACGCGGCAGTCGGGTGAGCAATGGACGCACTTGTGCTACAGGGCTCCGAGCATCGTCCACCACTTGCAGCATAAAAGACCGGCCCTGGAGGCCCCATGGATGCATCGAACTCGCACCTTTCATCGCCTACACACTCATGTCGACCCAAGCCAGCAAGACCGCGTCGGGCTCGTATGCCTCCGTCTACGTCCTAGGCGGCACGGCGTACAAGTCCTTTGCCCGCGAATTCGAGGGCGCGAAGAACGAGTTCGACGCGCTCGCGAGCGTGTACACCACCTGCAACCCCGGCGCGTTCCTCCTCGCGCCCAAGCCGATCGCCCTCCAGAACGCCGACAAGAGCGTCGACCCCGCGTTTGCGGGGGAGGCTGTCCCCGCCGACGTCGTGGCGGAACTGGGGAAGCTGCCGCCGCCCGCGATCGCGATGGAGCGCATCTACGACATCCCGGACGCGCTCAAGGGCGCGCTGGCGCAGATCATCAAGCTCGACGAGAAGAAGGCGCCGGAGATCAAGTTGTGCCTGCTGGGCATGGGCCGCGAGGCGATCAGGGGCCCGGTGAGCCTCGCCAGCGTGCTGCTGACCCCGACTACGTACGCGGACCTCGCACAGCGGGTGAAGGGCGCGGTGGCGCTGCCGCCAGTCGAAGATGTCGTGCGCGGGATAGGGGCGGCGGTCGCGCGGATCCATTGGAGGGCGGGGTACGATGCGAATGACATCGAGTTTGCGATGGGCGCGGATGGGAGTGGGCATGTGAAATTCTTCGTCTTTGATTTCAACAAGGTAGGTGTTGTTTCGGAGCATGGCTCAGTTCAGACGCAGTGCTGAACGGCGTCGCAGATGGAGCGCGTCGGCGAGAAGCCGGATACGGACAAGCTGGTCAAGGCGTTCAGGAGCAACAACAAGTATTATCCACTTTCGGGGGCGCTGTTCGAAGTGCTGAAGGCGGGATATGAGAGTCAGCTCGACGGGGCGTCTAAGGAGAAGGGGGAGGCATTCTTGGCTGCGCTGACCAAGTCGTCTGCGGAGAAAGAAAAGAGTGGGACGGCCTAGAGGAGAGCATGACCGGGTTTGGAAGCGAGACCTATGTACTTCGGCTTCTTGGGAGATTAGATCCAAGCATGTGCTTCAGCAGCGACTGCACACTGGTCATGGTGGAAGTGATATTCAAAGCTGCGTAGCGTTTGATCATTCGCGCAAACTCCATCAACAAAGACAAAAAATTCGGATGTCCAACTCACCAGTACCTTCCGGTTCGGTCGTGACACATACCTCTATAGTAGAGCCGCTGGAACTCGATCCCCCGCTCCCTGCACGCCTCCGCTTTCGTATTCCAACCATAGTCGATCTTCTCCTGGAGCGTCCTTCCCTCATCCCCGGCCTTGCCCTCGCCACACTCCACCAATATCCTCCTCCTCGTCCCGTCCTGGCCATCCCAGAAGCATGATTGCAGACCATCGATGATCTGCAATGGGACAGCAGGTCCATAGCGAAAGGGAGGCAGGCAACAGAGGAACGAGTGGCTAGCGGAAGGAGGAGGACGACTATTGTGCCGTTCTTACACCCAGCGTGGAGGCTGGTATGAATATCCTGAGGGGGAAGGGGCAGGATAGTGCATCACTCACCCGTTTAACACGCCTCCCGTCCATTTCAGTACAAACACCCGAACTCGATCCCTTTCTCTTTACAACCCTGCGCGACCGCATCCAACCCAATGACCTTTTCTGCCCCCGCCTCCCCACACTCGACCAGCATTCTCCTCGTCTGTCCCTTCCAGAAGCCCGAGCGCAGGGCATTGTGGATGCCCCACTTCGTCAGCATCTCGAATTTGTAAAAATCCCACTCGCCTCGCACGGCCTCCATATGAGAGAAGTGGTCGACCTCCAGCGCGATCGTGCCAAGGCTGCGCGGCAGGTGGTTGCGCAGATACGACAGCGGGAACGGGCGGTTCAGCCGCAGACACCTGAGGTTGGGGAAGTGGCCCAGCGAGGCAGGGTCCGGCTCGCAGAAGAGCTTGACCGAGGTGACGTGCGAGAACACAGGCGATACGCGTCGAGGGCGGTAATCGGGCTGCGAGGAGTACCACCAGCGATATTCGTCCTCGGGGGAAGGGGAAGCCGTTGAGTGAGCGATACAGCCGAAATGAGGTGAGGCCGTAGTAGTGGGATACGAAGTCTGTAATGTCAATCTCATGGGAGGTGACGTCCAGTGACTGGCACCCGGGAATCAGGTCGACGATGGCGGCAGGGGTCACTATATCCTCACACCAGCGGTCCTCGTCCGGAAACGGGAGGAAGACGACGGTAACCTCCGAGCAAGGGGACTTGGTGTGCATGCGCGGAATGGAACGCCATACTTCGATGATGATGTTGTCAAGGAGTTCAGGAGGGAAGTGAAGGAAAGGCCGGAAGGTCGGGAGGGAAGCTGCAGTTGAATGTGAGGACAACGTGACTTCGCATGCTCTGGAGTTTAGCAGCAACAAAGTCCTGTAGCTCCAGCTTTTACAAAGGGCCTTCAGGGATATCGAGTGTGCATTCTGTGCGGTTACAGTTGAGTGGCAGTGCCAAAAGGATGAGGCGCCGACTGTCCCGTGGGAACCTCCCCCTTGTGGCAGAACAGGGCAGAACATGTACTTACATATGAGGACGTTCTACTAGGATTCTATCGCAATGAATTTGACCGCAGCTCTCTTGGTCCCTCGTAATCGAGCGAGGATCCACGCACCATGTTCAGTTTGAATTCAAGCTCTCGCTAATCCCGAGCTCAGGGTAGACTCGAAGGGCACGGCCATGTTGTGCTCCCGGATCTGACCACCGTATTTTTCTGCTCTGGGGAGAGGGAGGGACCGTTTTGTTGCTTCAAATCCAAGGAATCAAATTACTCACCGGACAAAGTGATGAAATGCCGGAGCATGGGGGTGAAAGTCCGGAACCCCCTCTTGCAATACAATCAGAGCGCAAGCTCAGTTGCCAAGCCAAGACAGCTTTCATGGTCTCCAAGCCACTAGACGTTCGTTTGAAAACCATTCTTAAACGCACAATCGCCGAGATTGTGCTCCTTGTTCCGGACAATGGTCTATGCGAGCTTGAGCACGTTTGTGTGTCCGCAGGCCAAGTACGGTGGGGCTGGTATATGATGATTTTATGTCCACCCGGCACTGCATGCGTAGCCCATCTCCTGTAATAGCAAACCTCTCGTAAAAGGTGCTCTGGGATACACTGATGTGCGTCGAGTTACCAGAACCGGAATAATGTGGATGTTGGATCAGCGACGGATAGGACTCACCGCGGAAACACTCGGCTCTGCGGTTCAAGTCACTACAGCTTCCGTTGAGAATGGTCTCTCGCCGCGAGCATGGCCATCACCTGCCAGATACTTTTGTGCTCGGGTCGTACCTGATGTCCTCTGGAGTTATGACACCGCGCTGAGCCTCCGTTGGGGCCGGTGCACGAAGAGTTCCCGAGGAATCTGTAGACGTGAGTTCATTACCTCTTGCCAGAGGAGATTCGGCTGATGATGTGGCGGATTATGTCGGACACTCTCTTTCTAGCCAACCTGCGTCAACGCAGCGCGAACGATATACCACAATTAAATCAGTGGATAGGGTGATACTCCTGACGAACCGTATCAATTGCATTAATTGTCGGAGCATACAACCTTCAAGAAACTTCCATCCTAAGTCATCTCCTGATACCCTTCACTGAAGTGAAGACTTCATTATTTTATGGAAAATCCAGACAAACGAGAGTGCGTGACTTACGAACAGTTATTGTGCTTTATCGGCTAATCGAGCCGCATATCTTTGGATAAGGAGACACCATGGTCTTTACAAGCCTTCTCCGCTTCCTCCCACCCCTCAATTTTGTCGAGGGTACATTCAACGACAATGCGAAGGGGACGTTGATCCTGCTTCTCCTCCCTCAGTCCGATCTCGAGAGCTTCGTCAAGTCTCCACACAGACAACTCTTCAGACACTTGCCACACTGCTGGGCCTGACTCCGCTCTAGTATGGACACGTAGCGGACAGACGACAAGGGTGTCAAGACTGTCCGCAAATTTTCCGCTCCCGGGATGGAAATACATTGACGACCGGGGGTCACTAACCATGCGTAGAGTCTTGATACCTGCGTAGCGAGATACGAATTCGCAAACATTGACGGTTTTCCTCCCAGAGAACTCGGGAGACTCCCTGAGAGAGGTCTCCACCCGGACCTCCATCGCGACACAGCTGGGAATAAGCGCTGTGATCTGTTCGTAATGAGAATCCGAGTCTTCGCTCCGCGGGTGAGCTATAGTGAGGTGACAGTTGGAAAATATGTTCCTCTTGTATTCGCTTGCAACAGCAGATTCAAGCGCCAGCCCTCGGGTTTCCAGGTGTTTTGTTATATGGCGAGTATAGATTTGGAAGTCCTTGAAATTCTCGATATAAACATATCGAAAGTGGATATCGTGGATGACGCGGCGCCACTCATGATTTACATGGCGAAAGCAGAAGTATAGTCTCCAGCGCACCGAAGAACCACTCTGAATAATGGTATATCCGTGGAACTCAGGAGGAAGAGAGCACCATGCGTAGGTCAGGATGAGGTCGAAGAGCTCGGTGGGAAGATGTGGGCAATGCGCGCAGAACGTCGAAAAGGTGGAGCTAGTTGCGATGTCTGGAGGGCATATTGACTCCGAAAACGACATTCCTGGTTAGAAGGGCTTGAAACTGCGTCCCTAAAACAAGACGAGCCACTAGTACTGTAAGGGCAGGAAGCATCAGCTCAATCGATTGTCACGGGGTCCCGGCAGCTCATTGGTCAATTTGAGCGTCTCTCACGCCACCCTGCATCAGAACCACAGAATCGTCACTCTGTCGCAGACAGAAATATGTTTCATATTGAACTAAGTTGCCGGTGTTGCACAGGTAAATAGTCTCTCATCATCCAACATCTGGCTAAAACGTTTTACATTTTCTGCGTAGACGTGCAGGAGCTCTCTTGGGGCCCGCCGACTTATGTGGTTATCCGGGGACATTGTCGCCGTGCACTCAGAGGATTTGCCCGAGGCACGTCTAATAAATGTATCAGCACCCTGGACGATCTCATGGGGTGGGTTTAAAAACTCACATCCAGGACGCACTCGAAGGTTACCCCAGGGACATTGGTGCAGCATGGCGTGGTGTTGTCACATAGCACATTACATACGTCAGGAACGCAGAACTACGGGCATACAACGCAGATCAGTTCTCGTGAAGACGGCACCGAAGGACCTCCGACGATACGCACCATGTCTGATAAATCCAGGTAGTTGACTCCATTGCAGACAGCTCCCGCGCAGCAGTCAGAATTGTTACTGCATGTTTGCAACAGGCACCCGACTTGACGGGCCTCGTAGAGGCTGGGACTTGCTACAACGGCACCAATGTAAGCGACGACAGCCGCGAGCTTGGCGACGGTAAGGAATTGCATGTTACTACAGCTGGAGAAGAATCCTAGCATTGGAACTGCAGGTAAGACGAAACAGCTGAGTGACTTACTTGTTCTCCGCTGGCGTATTATATGGGCACTGATCATTTTGGCTGCGATTCCGCCCGGTATTTATGCAGTCAAGCTGTTCCGCGAACTCCACAGAGTGACCGGTACCGGCATCGATATGTGGCATAGGCCGGCTCCATTTCCTATGTTAGTCCAACCTTCTTCGACAAGTGCGATATATTACATGCCATAGAGTGTCCCCAGGACTACGCCACTCACATGTTCCTGAAGCGTATGACATTCTTACAGGTGATTCCATATTTACCGTAATTTTGCCTGGCGCAATGCGCGAACACTCACGAAAATGCTTTATGGGTTATTGTAGTCTCCTATTCTCCTCAAGCCAGTTGATAGCAATCTCTCCGAGGTATGTTAGCTGACCAGACCGAATGCACGTACTCAGCCATGCCTACCATATGGAACTCCCGAAATATCGGACTGGCTATGAGATTACATGGAATATATTCGCTGGACGCGGATCTGTCAACCAAGCTGCCGCCAGTGACTTACATTTTCAATCAATCCAGGACATCTGCATGCCGATGTGCTCCCTACATCGTCCAATATCGAATTCCTCCACTTCCCGGCTCATCGGCATTCATGAGGTCCACTCAGGCTGGGCGTCTCAATCCTGATGCAAATCTAAAAGGTTACGCCCCAGCCAAGATTGTTGACTACACTCAGCATCTCGGCAGCGCGCGTTCTAGTTAATATCAGTGTGCTTTGAGTTGAATACGTGGCCTGAAATCTACCTGTAGGCTGTCAGTCACAGCGGACAAGCACCGATGTCCTGCCACCGGACATTTGTCATTCATGAAATAGGTGGGAGAACATTTTCCTTGCATGCTCCGAAGTGGGACTTGGCAGAGACATAAAGAATGAGAGAACAATGTGAATCAAATGTCCCCTGATTTTTAGAGAGCATAGTAAATGTCCCGCGGATCTGCCTTTGTTCATTCAAGGGACATTCTCCATGTCCAGGTCGTGGTCCAACAAAGACCATTCCAGGAAAGTGTTCTCCCAACCGGGGCATGTTCATAGCATGCTCGCCGACGGGACATCGGTCTCTGCCCGCAGTGAGTATAATCGGCACCCGACTCGGGTGCCGATTGAAGCGGCTTGAGGCGCAGTAAGGCGCGAGACATCGAGCCGACTGATAATCAAGCTTCGGAGCGATCTAGCACTCAGACAGTGCGCCTCGCCGCAATATGGATAGGTACAGAGTCCGGATTCGCCGGTGGTAGGTTCTAACCTACAGGTTATATGAAGTTTGTGGGTCGGGACTCTGGTACGACGGTCACTTAATCATTAGCATATCCGGAGAAGGCCGTCATGCAATCCCCTTGGTTTCTACTACCCGTGTGTGTGAAGGGCCCGATATAAGTGCTTGCTGCAATCATAATCCCGGGATCTAGCAGGAGTTCTTCGTTTCCGGCCGCAGCTTCTACATAGACGAGATCCGCGCATTCCATGTGCTCCACTTCCTGTCAAGCAACATTTACTCACCTCGATCTCGCGGACCGCTGGCGCCAACGCCTTTGTGCACTCTTGCGTATTCTTGGATCAGCACACGACGGTAGAGGCAAATCCATCCATCGCCATCATCAATGTATAGCAAGCAGATAATACAGGAATTGTAGAATAGTGTACACTTTTGTCGTATAGGCCGGTTATTCCAACAATACCATGGGCTGTCCTCGTAATAGATGGTCTAACGAGCTAAAATCCAAGAGGTTCGTACGTAGCATCTAAAAGGCGTCATCGTTGCTCTTTCTTCTCTTCGCCTTTGGCAACTTCGGCTCTGAACATGGTGGTCAGGGATAGGCGTTCATTATATACTGACCATCCTTACTGTGGTTCGAAGCGGAAGATGTCCTCGGAACCGTTACCCCCGCGCTGGTGCACAAGAGTGACCATTCGTAAGTTAGAAATGAAGTCCTCGCGTGTCTTGTCCTTGACACCGCGCTGCATGTATCAAGTCAGCAAGCGTACGAAAAAACGAATGCTGAAGTTACGAACCTTCTTCCTACCGATATTATCGAGCCACTAGGGGAATCACGTCACCCCTCACGATCACACGCAAGACCACGATGTACTCACCGGGATATTGTTGAGAATAAAGTAACTGTGCATATCATCAGGTAAAGTCCCTCAGTATCGAAGAAAGAACTCAATCGAAACAAGACGTACACTAAAGCAAGCACGACAGTGACACCAAACGAGAAGGCCCAGACCCGGACAACGGTGACAATATCAGTGTGCCTAGAGGTATCATCAGCAACGGAAGGCACAAGCTACCACTGCATCCTACCCGTTGTGAGGCTGCGAGCCCGAAATCCAGCCAAAAATAGCAAAAATACTCGCGATAATATCAATGCCGAGGATGGCGCCGACCAATTGCCAGGATGGCTAGTCGCAAGCCATCGTTAGCCTAACACATCGGGATTATTGTGCCGATTTCTTGACTCACCCAAGTGCCCGCACCACGAGTCACAAATATGAGCCAGTTCTGAAGCAAACAATCAGCACTGTAGACGAAGGCAACCATACCTCAACGTACCTCTGTCAGTGCTACCTCGAGGAAAAGAATCTCCTGAACACTACCCCAGTTCTGTATTATACCACCGCTGGACAGGAATAGAGTACCACGCAAGATCCACGTAGCTGCGAGGGCAATTTATTTGGAAGCTACTCTCATCGCAGAGATATGAAACATACCTCCAGCGAGCAGGAGACCAAGTATCGTCGAGATAATCCATATCTTGGGGAGCTGCCACTCGACTGGAGCACGAGCGTGAGGAGCGTTATCGTATGCGATGGCGATTGTCCCTAAGTCGGCGAAGAGGGCGATGAAGACGATGAGGTCGGCCCGGATGGTCTCGTTCAAAATGATCATGGAAAGCGTCCTACGACCGCGACATCAGGGCTAATGCGACTCCAGTAAGGCCCATAAAAGACTCACAAGTAGATCTCCAAGTGCAAACAGAGAGCAATCCGGTACACGATATAAGCTGGAAGGGATCGTCAAGAAGTGCCTCAAACACCCGCGGAGATTGACTCACCCTTCATACGGTGGAAGATCTGCCGCGCAACTTTGATAGACGTAATGATAGTGGAAAGGCCCTCATCCAAGAACACGACGTCCTGATGGACTATCAGCGGTGGCTATGTCTGTACCACGGAGTATCCACTTACGGCGGCACTGCGAGCAGCGTCCGAAGCTCCTTCGACTGCGATACCACAATCGGCCTACGTGCCCCGTCAGAGCCTGACGTGGTGTAACTGTGACGGAAGACAAACCTTCTTCAGTGAGGGCGCGTCGTTAACACCTGAGAGCGGGCTCATGAGACGAAGCTTCGCGCACTTTCATATCATGCATACGCACCGTCTCCCGTCATAGCCGTCAAGTGACCTCGGTTCTGTAGCATCTCCACGACTTGGTATTTCTGTGCATCCGTAGCTGAGTGCCGATTCACGACTCCAAGATCATAACCAATACTTACATGCTCCGGAGCAACCTCAGCGAACCCATCCGCGCTCTCCACAAAGTCATGTACCTACGCCCATTTATTAGCACTCGCAATGATCGAGGGCTGCTTACACTTACATCCGAGCCTGACATCCCACCCGTCATCAATCGCTGCGAGTCGTACACATTCGTACCAAGCGCGAGCTGCTTGCAAGTTTCAATAGCGATAGCGACGGCATCACCGGTAAGCATCTTGACTCTGACGCCGAGTTCACCAGCTTCAGCAATCGTCTGCACAATACGTGAGCGAACCGGACCATCTCGGGTACTCCGGCATGACACGTACCTGAGCGGTATCCGAACGGGGAGGATCGAACCTGTCTCAAACGATAAGCTCAACGATGATTCCATACAGGGATGACGCTGAGCGTACATAGGCAGCAGCCCGAGGATCTTCCACTCTCCGCCCTGCTCCTGGCACGCAACCCCCAGGGTCCTAAACCCACGCTTAGCATAATCCTGGGTGCGCTGCCTGTACGCCTCCTGCAGCTCCCGGGGCGGGTTCGCCAGCCTCAGAATGCTGGGATGACAATCAGCATGTCGAGTCACCGTACGCTAGTCCCGGTAGCACTCACGCATTGGGAGCGCCCTTCGCGACGTTGTACTGCTTCCCATCCTTCTCGACCTGAGCAGTAATCCGCTTGGACACAGGGTCGAAAGGTGTGAACTTGTGGGTGATCCATCCCTCCTGAAGCCGCTGATCAGTACTGCTTCGGATCCGTACAGGCTCTGCTCACTTTGAGTATCTCCCGAGCCTTGGGATAATCCTGCAAACGAGTTCAGCAACAACGATCCACATTGAACCATGCATGACATCCACGAACCTTGAGCGTGACAACCGTAACCTTATCAATCGGGTCCAAAGACTTGATATTATGACTCGACGCGAGAACCGCCACCGCCAACATCCAATTCAGATCGACGCCTTCAACAGCCCATGGCTCGTGTACCGACAGCTGGTTGGCCGTGAGCGTTCCGGTCTTGTCGGTACACAATATATCGACTCCAGCAAGACTACAAAATATTACGTGGTATGTAAGGATAGAGCGGAGCGGAACTTACGATTCGATGGCCGTGAGCTTCTGAACGATCGCTTTCCGTCGTGCGAGGAAGGCAGCACCAACTGTAAGCGCGTCAGCCATCGGACCCCAAGAGACCATGCATGCGCGTGCGTACCAGCCAGCGTCGTCGTCGTAACGCAGGGCAAACCCTATACGCGCTTCGTCAAATCACGCTACCATAAATCTTCTCAGTGCTACTTACAACAGGGACACCAATGATCTGTAACACGGTAAATGTCATTCATTTGATAGACCGCTGTGATGTCCTGGGCACGCACCAGCATGACAAGGGTATAAACAAGCAAGTTATTCTCCGAGGGGGTAGCAATCAGCACATGGCGGAAGAACCCTCCGATCCAAATGGCAAGCAGCCATAATACGACCCTAAGACCGTCCGGTTAGCTCGAATCACCGTAGAGAATAACACTAGGAACGCACAGAACCAAGAGCGTCGTGCCGATCGAGTTCATCACCTTCTGGAAGTGGCCCTGCGTGTTAGAGCCAGTGACGAGGCTCGCCGTCCGCCCCACAAACGACTGCCTCGCCGTCTCCGCGACGACCATATACACCTTTCCACGCTTCGCACCAGTAGTGTAATAGATCGTATCACCAATGTCTACCGGGCGCGGTGTTCAGCTACCGAGCAAGAAAACTGGAAGTAAAAAACCCACATTTATCCACGGCCAAACTCTCCCCAGTGATCGCACTCTGGTCGCACGAGAACACCGAGGGACCCTTATCCTCCTTCCCGTCATCGTCGTCCTCCCTGCCCTTGTCGTCTTGTCCGCCCTCTTTCCTGTCGCCCGAGTCAGGTCCGCCATTAGCCTGCTCCTTCTTCTCTCGGCCGGGACTGCTCGACCGACTGGAATGGTTATTGCCATTCTTCGAGGCATCCCGTTTCTCCAAGATCGACTTGGCCTTGGATCGGTCCTTGTCGTCGTACGCAGCGAGGATCTTGCCGTCCGCGGGAATTGTCTGCCCTTCCTCTACGACGACAATGTCGCCTGGGACGATCTCCCGCGCCTCGATCACCTGCTCCTTACCGTCGCGGACAACCGTTGCCTTCATCGCGATACCGGCCTTGAGCTGTTCGACGATGTCGCCGGCTTGCTTCTCTTGATACCAGCCCACAAATGCGTTCAGTGCCAGAATGCCGATCTAGTACACGAGTCAGCGACGAAGACAAGGTGGTAGCATGCTACGCACAATAACGCCAAAGTCGATCCAATCACGTAGACCGGCAGCCAAGATGACCGCCAGTTCCATCACTGCACAAACACGGATGAATTAGCGAGAGAGAATGCGGGGCAACTGATACGTGCCGTAGAGAATAGGTCCGCGGAAGTACGAGATGAATTTGAGGATAGGGTTTTCTCGCGGACTAGGAAAAATGAGCCAGTATAAAGAAGAAAAATAGAGTCATACACACCTCTCCAGCTCATTATACCCGAAGCGATTACGTCGGTTAGAAATCTCCGGCTCGGACAGCCCTTTCAACATGTCCGTCTCCAGCCAACTCTGCAGTGCGCGTCAGGAACAGAGACAACATGGAAGGACACCGAGCCCACCTGCGGCACTTTCTTGGTCCCCTCAGCGTCCACCGGCACCTTCTTCCACGGCGCATACCAAAGCCTTCGCATCTCCTTCTCCTCCTCCTCTTCATCGCCCTCGTCGCCGCCATGCCTGGCCCGCTCCGCCTCGTAGTCGATGTACTTCAGCAGCCGGGTGTACTCGTCCGGCTCCTTCTCAATCTCGTCCATCGGGTCATAGTCATGGTTGCGCTGCTCCTCTACATCCGGGTCGCCGCGCTCGAGGTCCCGATTGCGATCGTCGGCGGGAGGCGGCCCGCGGTTGTTCTCATCAGCCTGGCTGGCGGCTTGGCCGTGCACGTCGCCTGCGGAGGCAGACATGGTCTTGGCACGCAGGTACTGGGCGAGAGGGATGAGACGGGCTCCACATCCTGCCCTGCCTCCGATTTAAGTACTCACCTTGCGGCTGACCCATCGGCTTGTACAGCAGAAAATAACGCAGATACAGTGACGTATACGAGCCCAACGCCATGAACTGCCCTCGTCATTGATTTGGTGGCTTGCGGACCAGGCGGTGGTGTTCACTGTTCAGTGCGCGTTTGAGCAGGTCGACGTCATTGGGGAAGGCTGCCGCCGGCGAGCGACGCCAAAAATACGTTCACCTACTATATGCCAAAAATAGTCCATCTAACTACGCCATGGAGTCTCATGCAGGCACATCTAGGCCTCCGGAAATGGGTACACTAGGTGCAGTGGCAAGGGGGGGAAGGGGGGGATGCGAGAGAAAGATCATTCCTGGGCCAGTCGTCTTTATATACCAAAGCAGCGATCGACGTGAAGAAGTCATGAAATGGCAGGTCAGGAAGAGATGTTTACATCCATAACAGGTAACGTCTTCCCCAGAACGAGCAATGTGTGTGTTCTCAGGATGCCAGCGCTTCTTACATGACGTCAGACTACTGATTTACGAACAGCTCATCCATCTCTGACAACCTTGATCTAAACAATCATTACACAAGCTCGCCATACGGGCCGCGGGTACGCCATGCTTTGCTCAGATGACAGCCCCATCGCCACGTAAATTCCGTACCATGTGTATTGGGACAGAGGTCGGTCAGCACTGAAATATTGATGCTGGCCGATAATATTGATATTGCTCCAAGGAGTCGATTCACATAATGAACCGCATAACGCGCTCTTTCGAGAACAAGTCCGTCCATGCAGTGCGCTACCTTGCATTTAGGCGGCAAAGCTCGCTATGGCGATGCATCGATCTCGTATCGTCCCATGCACGCTGCGAGCGCTTCACGAAAAACTGCTCCATCGCAGCCCCCATGGTATGATCCTATTGCAGAGATCGCAACGCCGGTGAGTAAATGTGTACGCTCCTAATGCCCCCCCGAAATTCATGTTATCAGCGACATCACGAATCAGGCTCGGGCTGAAGCAGACTAGCATCAACTGCTGCGCTGAACTATACATAGAAACACTCGTTGCATCCGCGCTACGTCCTAAAAGCAGAATCATAACGGCCAATATCAATCCGCCTCCAATGTGAAGCGTTGCTTCATATGAAGCCACGATGGCCAAGTGTGCGCCAGGCATACATGTCAACGAATCAGCAGCACCGAAATGCACTCGCACCCCACCATGTTCATCCCCGCCACCAGCACCCTGCCGAGCCCGCATAACCTCTCCGTCCTCCCGACGCCCCTCACGCACAGTGTAGATACCTGCCACGACATCGACAACTGCCGCACGCTCTGGCAGGTCATCCGCAGCTGCCTCGTCACCATCTTCGCCTGCACCTGGGTGTCGCTGCACCTCAACATCCCCGCCGAGAACGAGCGGTGGCACCGCGGCCCGCTCCGACACCTGGGCGTGATGCTCATCGGGATTGTCGCGCCGGAGCTCGTGGTGGCGTGGGCGGCGCGGCAGTGGTACGTTTCGCGGGAGCTGCAGAAGAGATGGAACGACCGTGCGGGTGCGTCGTGCGCCCGTCTCTCGAAAACGAGTTCTCCGGACGATGACCGCGCTGCGATAGCCGCGCACGGAAAGCCGTGGTCCAAGACCCACGCGTTCTTCGCGCTCATGGGCGGCTATGTCCTATACAGCGACAGTCACCGCCCCGAAGTCCTCGACGTCGACTACGACGGCGATTTCCGCGTGTTCTTCGCCTCGTCGGACCGCACAGCCTCGCTGAAAGCCGAGGAACTGGCTGACAAGGGGAAGAAAGATTGGCTCGCAAAGACGTTCGCGATCATCCAGACGGTATGGTTCGTCCTTCAATGCATCGCTCGCGCCGTCCAGCACATCACCGTCTCGGAGCTTGAGTTGGCGACTTGTGGGTTTGCATTGCTGAATGCGGTGACGTACTTTCTATGGTGGAATAAACCTCAGGGAGTGCGGTTTCCTTTCTTCGTGAAGATACAGGAAGGGCCAAGTACGTGTAGACCTGTGGCCTAGTGACGATGACTGACCCGCAATATTCCTCCGCAGGTCCTCGGGAGCCAGACGGAGCTCCGCACGAAACCACCGCACGTGTCGAGCATTCTCTGGGCAAAAAAACAGGCCCTCCTCCTGAAACCGGACCACGAACCAGGTGGCGCCCCAAGCTCCCCTCCGGCGTCCTCTACGCCTTCTCAGAGATGGCGGGGAACGACCGCCTGCACAGCAACAACGAGATCACTGGCACGTCCGTCCCGACCTTCTACTCGGGCGACCGCACGCCCAGCCGCGACGACGTCGCCATCACGCTCTCCGTCGAGTTCTCCATCGTCTTCGGCGCGATCCACTGTCTCGCCTGGGACTTTTCCTTCCCCTCGTATCTGGAGGCGGCCCTGTGGCGCTCGTGCGCGCTCGTGATTACGTGTATGCCTGCGGTCAGGCTATTGACATACTTTGTGCAGCAGCGGACGGTGGCTGGGAAAGTGCTCGGCCGACTTGGAACGGGGGTCATGTGGGTGATGAGGGTGGTCAACCATTCCATGGTGGTTCTCTACGTCTCTGCGCGGTTCGTCTTGCTTGTCCTCGTGTTCACCCTGCTTAGGTCGCTTCCAGAGAGCACCTTTCAAACTGTGTCTTGGACGTCCTTTATCCCACACGTATAAATAGCCATATAGGCAACCCGTCAATACTAGTACACTATACACGCAGCGGCCACTTTTTATGCTACATGGTTCTGCGTGTGTGGTGTAAGCGAACATCTGATTCTAATAGCACAGGGTGTGTGGCGCCAAGGTCGTGATTTGTGCAGTAGTACTTAGGAAAGTTCCGGGGCAACGTCCACCGCATCGAGCGAAACTCTTCCTGAAAAGGGGACGCACTTCTCGTAAATCGCGTTTGCTCATGCGAGAGGTTCGCACTCTATCAGATAAGATTGGGATAATAAATAAGATTAGATCGCTGACCCCGACCGGCGATAATCAACAAATGCCACCTGTACAAACGGTGTGAAACTTGTCCAGGGCCTCCTGCAGTTACTTACAGCTTGCGAATCTCGTTGTACATGAAATATGTTGCTACCCTTGATCAAATGGGATAGGTATGGGTGTGGATCAAAGATACCTCATCAATCATCAATCAACGCAAGAGGTACTGAAAGGGGTCCCTACATTCCTGGAAGATATGCCAGCAGGACCGGATAGTGATTGATGTGCCCTTAGATAATCACAGTAGCAATGCCTTGCATTGCCGACAATGCAAGACATCTCGGCTGAAAGACGGGCGGCAAAATGACAGGCTTAGAAACGTACAGAGCTCACGACGACTATCGTTGTTATTCTTTTGAGTATCGTACTCACTATGAGACCTAGTTCAAGTGAACGCCTAACTAGAAAGCTGAATTGCTTGCCTTGCCCCGCGCGAAACCTTTGTTCTCGTAGCCCTCACGGCCGAAATGCGTCCTACCCCTGATGAGCCCCGTTAACGTCAAAGGTCATAATCCGGTGCTCTACTTCTCATATACTACTTTTGTGCTTGGACTGGACAGACGTGACAACAGAGGTGATGGATGGCGGAGTAGTCGCAGAACTTGAAAGTTGTTCTTGAACATGTCGGGGAGCGCCAACCTGAGTGATACAGTGCTTTGCATATGAAGCCGGAAAACGCGTTTCGCAAAATATCGTTTGGCTGGACCAGGACGACGCGCAGGGTGTCCTCCGCTCGCGTCTCAGCAAGTATGACTGCCACGTCGAGTTCGGCACGGAGCTACGCGGGTTCGCCCAGCACCCCGACCAGCCCAGCTCGTCCGCCCATTGGCAGGCGAGAAGGACTCAGAGGAGACGTTTCTCGCTAACTACGTGATCGGTGTTGATGGTGCAAGAGGTAGTTTTTCCTCTTTTCCTTGTGCTGTATGTTGTGACAAGATCTTCCGCGGTTAAGGCGTGGTGAGGAAGCTTCTGGGTCTGCATTTGATGGCGTGACCAGGCAGGACGCGTGCGGTATTCTCGGAGACGTCAGACTGCGCCCAAGGGTTCCGCGCGATGTGAGTCCCTCCGTAATCTAAGTGCTGCTGAAATGGACCCACTAACCGATGTTGTAGTGCTGGAGGCTTGGGGGAGGGACGGCATCCCTAAGTAAGCACCATTCCCGCATAATCTGCTTGCTTGGAGGCACTTATGCCCCGTGTAAAGACTCTCCGAGATGCCTCGCTATTTACAGGACGAAGACGTTTGCTGGCTGACATAGTTCGCCTTCGATAAGGAAGATAAACACTCTGAATTCAAGAGATTAGCAGCCAACCGAAATGAATTCAAGGAGCACGTTAACCAATACACGGGAGGACGGTTAGAGATCACCGAGATCTTGTCATTGGCTTTCGTTAAGTGTGTAGCCTTCCCAGTGATGATTTTCAAGAGGCTGAGAAATGTCACTGGAGATTCATCCTCATACCTCCTGTGAACAGGTATACTGTCGATGCGACGCATGTCCACAGCCCCACAGGCGGCCAAGGGATGAATAGTGGCCTAATCGACGCGCCCTGCTTTCTCGACGCTCGTCCATCCCGAGGATAAATCTCGCTGGAAAGTCAGCCTCGCCAGCAAAGGCGTGGCATGTCCCAGCCTCCTAGAATCCTACACGGCAGAGCGTGTCCCGGTTATCAGGGGTACGCTCGGGTTGACCACAGACACGCTCGGCGAGACGCTTGCAAAAACAGAGGAAGGGTGGAACCGCGGGAGCAAGTACTTCCAACTTGATGTGAACTATCGCGGGAGCCCGGTAGTGCTCGAAGAGCGTGGCGAAGATGTGCCAGCGCCCGCGCCGGGCGTCTACACTTATAGGACACTGGGAAGAGATCAGGCTGGAGATAGGGCGCCCGACGCGCCCCCGTTGCCCGACGTGAACGGCAGTGCCGGGCTTCTGACGAATCTCTTCAGCTTCTTTAAGATCGCGAAGCACACCGTTCTTATTTTCACTGCCTCCGTCTCGTCCGCTGACGCGGTGGTCGACGCGCTGCGCGAGTATCCCACGGATCTGGTGCAATCCGTCGCCATCCTCCCTGCGACATTCTCCGTGTGCGCAGATAAGGCGCTCCCGAAGGCGGACTTCCTGGTCAAGGATACTGACAGGCACGCGTACGAGGGGTATTTGGTGAATCCGGTGAAGGCAGAGACGACGATAATTATCGTCCACCCTGACACCTTTGTCGGTTCCGCCGGAAGTGGGGTGGGCAATGTGAAGGGGTATTTCAGTCGGATATTTGCTTAGGAGTAGGCAAGAGTAGGCAAGCTATGTCAGTAACGTACCGGCAAAACGGAACGGTTTATCTCTGCTCTCGGACATACGCACATCGTGGCACGTATTGTGGTTAATATTGAAAAGCAACGTGCACACAGCTCGCTCACCGTAGAGGTCGTTGGCAGATAGACCGATCTCCATCTCCCATGTTGAGAAAATATACAATGGGAGAAGCAGAGCAAGGTATGTATGATCCTTGCGACCCCGGACACCAGGATGACAATATTAGCCTCACAGCCAGCTGCAGAAGTGCACCTGCGCTCACATCGAAAATAATTGCGCACCCAGGAGATTGTGATCTGTTCCCAGAGGCCCTTGTCGCAGACCTTCTGTCATATTTATTATCCAGGATAATATGGACTCACGTTGCCGGAGAGTCTAGTTATTTCTTCGCCATTTTGGCTTCATACTTCATTTTTGGCCAAGTCCTAAGAGACGGTTACTACGCACTGCTCCGCACGCGTGGTCCCGCCTAAATACCCATGAGGCGCCAGTCATCGTAGTTAGAAAGAAGATCACCAGATGTAACCTAAGCGCGTGCAGTGCCATCTGCAAGCATTGCAGCTAACGATGACACAGGCCGCCTCACAGAGAGTGTAAGGTCGAAGTAAGAGAGGAAGGCGATTCAAGTGGCGGACCATAGACATGAAACCGTGGTGTGTGAGATGACGAAGCTCTATAAGGAAGACTGGGCTGGACAAAAGAGGGGAATACTGCCTAAATGCCTGGAACAGAAATGAGAATTTGATTTGTAGGGAAGAGATTCTTTTTTTTTTTTGGACAAGTAATATGATTAAGTAGCTACCGACAATAGGTCCAGCTCTACTTAGTCTACTATAGCAAACGGTAATACCGTTTGGTCCGAGGGAAAATGCATTTACGCACGACCCCCGGTGGGTACCGGGGAGTGTAGGGCTCGATGGAACGCTTGGAGCTTCCGTTGAGTGGGAGTCCGCGGCGCCCTAATACCTACTAAAACCTCAGGGCGGGCTGCCCAGAATTGATCAAGTTGGTCTGTATTTGCGAGGACGGGCGTCCAGGTCCGAACTACCTTTTTGACTTCCTTCTCAGAGCGTTTCAGTTTACAGGCGACGACGTGATCAATGCTAAGGCGACGGTTTATTGCTCTGGACCAGCGTGAGGCAATAGCTTTGGGGGAATGGGTTCGTTGTTGGATAACGCGTTCGCACCTAAGGACCCATAGGAGGTAGATGGCTTCGGATACTAAGATTTGAAGAAGCCGGGAGGCTCCGGGGTGGGGTTTCGTGAGTGGGGGCTCATGGTCGATAGTGGAGTCGGAATCAGAATCCTGGTCGTCATGGTGCAGGGTGTCGCGCAGTGGCACTGCAAGTTTGCCACAGCTCAGCAAGGCCCCAAAATTAAGGGCTGGCCAAGGGCCAAAGGAGTCTGGCCATAGGTCTTGGGTAAGCATCCAGACAATTTCTCGGGCTGGTGTTAGACATTCAAGCAGTATGTGATCTAGGTTGTCGGAGCAGTCCTCACAGGTAGGGCATATGGCACGGGTTTCGTAGCCCGCGATGGGGAGCCAGTAGTCCCCGATCTTGTGCGCTCTTTGAATGGCCTTGTAGAGAAATTGTCTGACTAGTGGTCGCAGGTTTAGGTTGCGGCAAGAGTTCCACAACTGGGGTGCTGGTTCCAGTGAGTGCGTTACATCGTGGAGTCCATCTTGCATCCGGGAAATATTGTAGGTTGCATGTTTGCGCGGTTGAGTGGTGGCGACTTTCCGTGCTCGGATAGCTTCATAGGCGAGGTGCTGGGTGAGTGCAGATAGTTTCACACCGGGGAGGGCAAAGTTTGCCGGG